AAACGTCAAAGCAATGAAGCCAACTGCAGAGTTTGATCCTGTGATCGGCCAAAAAACTTGCAGATCAAGGACAAAGTTTTATTTTATAGAAACTATACTTGACATCATAGTCCGTGTTGATAGAAGAATGGACTTAACATACAGTTGTTGACTCGAGTGTCTAGCGGCGTTAAATACGATTCTATATTTCCTTAATTTCTAGTTAGTACGGAATACGTTTTTGCAAATAGATATTAAAATAAAGGGAACTGAAAAAATGTAGCTGTTGATTTTAGGTAAATGAATATTGTGCCGTGTCACGCTGATCCGAGACAACTGTTAACAGATTACTTGACAGTTTTGAATAGATTATCATATCATATGAACAAGATTATCATACTATTAATTGATCGGGGCATTTCTCGAATAAACTTTTGTCTCCTGGCACAAATGTTTTGTCCAGTTCAGGTCTTTAAGAGTAACATAGTGGTTTTAAGTTTAAAAGAGCAAAGAGGCCTAGGTTGTTCTGGGGCTGTTTAACGCTGCTTATATAGTTTTTGTATTTCCGGTCTTTTTCTGGCTTAACTGATTTCCAAACGTAAACTTAGGCAAATACCGGCACTAAAACTGCTGTTACAAGCCGGTAAATTCAAATGAACTCCCTAATGGCCAAGCTATTTAAAGTATTCTAATAAGTTGTTCTAAGGAACACACTTCCAAACCTAAACTAGGTCGAAAATTTTAATGATTCTTACGGCATAATGATCTTGTTGTAGTATTACTAAGCGACAGCCGCGCAACAAACAACAGAGAAGTTCTTAACTCAAGTTTTTTCCTTTTTTTTTTCATTTCTCCTTAATGGTAATCCACTGATTGAGATAATGGCGTCAATACGATAACGTGGAAACATACCTACACTGATATTAGCTGGTGAAAACGTAACCAGAAGTTTCATCAATTAGAGTATTGTATTAATGCTGTCGTGCTCAGTCTGATGTTGGAATCTCCTGACGGGAAAACATTTGTATTTTACAAGCGAAAGCAGTACTACATATGAAGCTTTTCAAATTGCCATTTCGACTTAATTTATTTTGGCATTCTTAGACCTCTTACATAACGCAAATAGGAAACCAAATCCGTAAAAATAACAGAAAATTTAAGTAGATACGCCCTTTTGATAACAACTGTCTTGGCTAAAGGTGACTGTCAAGGATGGTTGATTTCAATCCAGTACTGAAAAAAATAGATGAAATACAGCCTGTCACAGAATTACAATAAGTATGGTTTAATTACTGCCCAATCTTTTTTTATGATTACTCATTACCTATGGATGGCGGTTCGGAGCATACGTGGCATATTCAAATGAAGTGAAAACAAATTTAGTTAATGAGCTATATTTCCCTCTGTATTGTTCATAGCACAAAAACTGGTAGAACCGCGTAAATATCAGGAACAAAACAATTCAAAGAGAGTAGGATAAAAATTCCAACTGGCATGAGGTAGGCTGGCCTTTTTAATAATTGTAGACTGGAGATGAAATCGTAACTACCGTGAAAAACTCTTACTAGCATTTGGCCAGGGGATTGCAAGATACTAAACACTTGGCCATACTACCTTGATCGTTTTGTAAACGATAGCACTTAAATTTTGAAGATGAAAAAGCAGCTGCTTAATAAATTACCTTCTCACCGCCTAAAAGGACTTGAGACAACATTGACAAGAACTGCCTAGGGTATTCTGAAAGCATCTGTTATAATTAACATTTTCAGTCAAAAAATATGCATTTTTATTTACAGCTCGATGATCACATAACAAAGTAAGATTGAAACTTATTCGAGCTGGTTGTTTCGCAGTTACGATTCAATAATCTTGATCTATTTTTTGCGTAGTCGGCCGGCCGAAACTCATTACTGTAGGCAGCGTAACACCGTTAGTGTTGCCAAACGTGTCTTCATTAGAAACGATAAAAAAATGTTTTCCAGTGTAATTCTCTCTAATCTCTCGTCTTGGTTTTCAGTTAGTATAAAGCTTTTGCTAGGGTTTGTTGCTTGGTGGCGCTCCCTTGTGCTCCGACAACTTCTCAAGTTGTTGTAACAAATTAGTGTTGCTAAACGTGTCCTCGTTAGAAATGATAAAGAAAAAATTAATGTTTTCAGTGTAATGCTGAATTTCCCTCTGTTTTCTCGTCTATCTTTTCAGTTGGTATAAAACATTTGCTTGGTTTTGTTGATTTAATTTCGTTTAAGGTAGCGCTCCCGTGTGCTCCGAACTTGAAAAACTTACCAACTTGCAAAAGGAGTGAGAGGCACGGAACTGATTCACAAATTAAAGTTTGAAGTTCAAAAACGAGTACCTCCTTTGGTATATTGGTAGGTTTACAGGCGACTCGGCTTGAGAAAGCACTGAATATGTACTGAACAATTGAGAGACAGTGAAGAGAAAAATGTATTTATTAATTAATTTATATTCCGTTAAAACGATTTTATTTAACCTGTAAAATTTATAGTAGACTACTGCCCAGTAATTCTCTAGTTTCATTGTTTTCTTTTGCTTACGTGTGGCTGCTTGGAACTTATAGTTACTGTTTCATTGGTTAAGTTAGATCACTCTGAAGAAGAACATCATGGCGAAAAATGTTATACTTTAGATATTTCTGAGTTTTTCAATTTCTCCGGGACTTCATACGATCTGAAAATATCCAGGTTGGAGTCCTTGGCAAATTATTTTGAAAATCAGAATGCCTTAGTAACCGGCCATATTTATGGCACTTAGGCCTGGTTCAGACCGAACATTTCACTTACTTTATTCAATGTATTAGGCTCGGCTCATGAAAAGTTCAGCGTCCGAACCGGACGTTAATAGTGTTGCAAGGAAAAAGCTAACCTAAACTACAAACAGCAGCGGTGTTAGTCAGGGCCAGCGGAGGGAGTGGGGCCAGGGAGGCCTTGGGCCCACTTTTTCGCCAAAAAAAAAGAAAAGAAAGAAAAAATTCTTTTACAAAGCTCTTAACAAGATGTTGTTTGATACTAGAGTAAGGATCTAGGTTTCACTCCCGTCCACAACAGGGAATAACGGAGACAGAGTAACCATTGTACTTTAAAGATGCCGAAACGTGATCGTAAATGACGCGGTAGAAGTGTCTTTTTCATGCTATTTGTTCAGCGCTCTTAATTTAGCTCTGTAAACTGTCCGCGATTTCATGGGTATCTTTGTTTTTTGGTGAGAGAGAGTTACTAAAAAGATAGAGCTGAGGCGATTTAAAGTTTTCATTACTTGCACGTCACCTATAGAACCACTGCATAAAGAGTGGAAAATGCCATAAAATTGCGGCTAAAATCTCCGCTTAAAATTGGACAAAATCGCAAAAAAAAGGTCCGTGTAACGGGCTTTAACGAAGCAATTATTCTTTGGCCTGAGAACAGAGGCTCTTTTTTCTCAATATGATTTCGCATACGAACTATAAGTTGCCTCTGTTCGCAGGGTCAATTCGCATGACGAGCCAAAAGAACGTCTGAGTCGGGATACATTTGAAAGGGCTTAGAGAAGCCCTCGTACCACCCCCCTCCACGCTTCCTTACGCACTTGAATCCAGCGGCTCCCCCCTACCCTCCCCCACCACCACCACCACTTGGAAAACTGCTGCGCGTGCCCTGTTAGTTTGCAGTTTTGAGGTTGGTTTGCGTGAGCTGAACTTTATTATGTTTGTTCACTACATAATCACGTTCCTGAAATAGTTGAGGTGTTCATAGTTTTCTGAGTTTTATTTTAGGGAGTTTAAGCAACCAGGGGCCTGTTTCTCGAAAGGCCCGATAACTTTTCGGGTCCGAAGGAAAATTTTGAAATCAAAACCAGTTGGCTAGTAGCAAAGTTCCTAGCTCACAAAGTGGCCAATTTTGCTTCGTCAACTGATAATTTTATTGTATCATTTTCAAAATTATTGAAACTTCAATCTTGAATGCAAACACGGTAAACATAAAACAGCTTTTCGGACCCAAAAGGTTATCGGGACTTTCGAGAAACGGCCCCCAGAACGGCGACGGCAACGGCAACGGGGAGGTAATTTACAAAGTGCATTCGCATTCTTGTAAAATTTATGGCGGTCATCTCAACTGGTTCGATTGGTCAAAGGTAAAAGGCGAGTTTTTCTGGGTTTTAATTTTTAGGGAGCACATCAAAGTTGTCGTCGAGTGTTTTCGTCCTCTATAATATGTCACACTGGAAAGTTTCACGTTGTACTCGTGCAATGACAGGGGAGAAATGTATAAAAAAAAGCATGATGCACGTGCACCTGTTGCTGTTTTTTTAGGTTCCCGTTGCCGTCGCCGTCGTGCAAAAAGGTGAAGGCCCTACAGCCGGAGTTTCACCCGGTGGCATGACGCACCTAGGGGTATTGCTGCTCCTCCCTGGATGGTATGCTAGTCTATCTCAGGGTTTCCCTCTGCAGTATGTTGCCGATACCCATTTATACACCCGGGTGAAGAGAGACAAAGTTTAATAACATTTCCCGTCTAAGGAAACAAATCGACTGCGAGGCTTCGGACCCACAGAAAGGAGTCTTTCCGGCTCCATCCTCGTTCTCGTTTCTGTAGTAGTATAGTAGTCGCAGTGTGGCATGAAGCACGTGGGAGTATTGCTACTCCCCCGTTGATGGGGTGCTAGTCATCGCACGGTTACACCCAAAGTATCTCTCCGGTACCCATTTATACACCTCGGTGCTAAGACACAAAGTGTTAAAACGACGATTTTTTTTTAAATACCGAAACCGTGCAAAGCAACAGCAAGATTCCAGGGTAAGCGGCTTGGCCACCACGCCTGGACGAGTTTGACATTGATAACTGGGAGGTTTTGGATCCTTTTTATGAAAAAGGTGGGGTGTGAACAAAATTGTTTGAAAGGGAACATTTAGGATTTTACTGGTTAAGAATTAACAGTTAGATGAATATTAATAATATCTACACAAGAACAGGATAGTATACTACCACTCCAAGGGGCCTCAGCTCTCAGCGGATAGCAGTACCCCCTACCCCTGAACCCCATTAGCAGACTAACTGGTTTATTTATATCTGTTTCGCTACCTCTTTTCTTTCATTCTTTTAAAACACTTACAGGTACAACTCCATAATTCTATGGAGTTAACATAGGCTAACCTTCCGAAACAGACAACAATCTTAAATAATTCACTTCTTTAAAAATACAGTTGTTACAGATGATACAGGATTAAAGCACTAAGCTGACGAGAGCCTAAAGGAAGTTCCTTGAACGGTTATCGGAAACAGCTGTTGGAGGATAGGATGAATGTGAAACCGGAAGTACTTGAGCGATTGAAGCAACTGGCTAATTTGGTCTCCAAAAAAGGAAATTCTCAAAAGAGTGTGAACGACAACAAGAAAGAACCGGATCAAAAAGGTAATGAAGATGACAAAGAGAACGATACATCTGGAAGTGGAAAAACATCAGGTAATGATCAGTCACCACAAAGACAAAACAATGTCGCCAACAGCGAAAGAAAAAAAGGAACCCGGGAGAAAGAGTAACACCGGAGCGTTCGAGCGGGCAGCGCAGCGGAGCCCTATAGCTGAAGGAAACTGGAAACCTATGGATCCGAGAAACTTGAAACTTTTTTCAAAAAGCCAAATTCGGGATCCAAAAGCCGACGAGTCTGTCGATAGAAGAAAGGAGCACTTTTTCATATTTTAAATACATTTTTCAGCGAGGATAGAAGGTGTAAACAAACGCATAAAACTTCATTCAAGCGGTCTTCAGGGATCGTGTTATGGGGAAAAAGTAGCACTCTGCAAAATTCTTGAACGGCAAGTAATGAATAAGAAAATGAATAACAATGGAACAATGGACACAACAACACTTCACTTTCACGCCGATGTCAAAATGTTCAAAACTTCTACGAAACCTTCATAAAAACAAAAATTCCCTTTTTAAAACGTGCTTTCCTCGACCATAGAGTACAGAATGAACCTGAAATTTCTTCAAAAAACTTCGCTGCCTTGATTGGTTAAAAACAGGCCAAGCGCTTCGCCGTGAAGAAAACAAGGTTGAATTCCTCGAAGGACAATTTCGTAACGAAAACCTTTCCCTTGTCCACAAAAAGGAATCTCAACATTTATTTCAACTTTCCCTTCCATTTGTGTCTTTATTGGTGTATTTTCAACCTTGAAATGCAAAACTTTGGTCTTGAAAACCACCCCACATGAAAGTGTGTGACCTTCGCTAAAGTGTCAAATCCGTTTCATCTCCTACCCCCTAAAAACCACCAAACATATGCTCACTAGAGAAGATTCTGATTGGTCAATCATTTCTAAAGCCTTTTGAAGCAACAGGGGACAAAACTCTCTAAGGGAGGAGGGGGTAGCAATTCAACTTAGTCCCTCCTTGGAAGAATGTACGAACGTACGTACGGTGACGTCATAACCAAATTATCTCGCATCGATAGGCTTCCAATTTCTATAGCAATGGAGCAAGGCTCTTAGGAAATTAAATTCGCTCGTTTGGTGACCTTTTTTCCCCACTTCATAAAGCTTCAGAGCTAAACAACAGTGTGTGTTGGGCGTTGTTCGTAGGTAGTTATACCAACTCGTTAGAAAAGCTTAAAAAGATACCAGTGCTAAGGTTATTCATCAGGTCTCTCAATTTTTGTTTTAGTTACGAATGGTAGAGTGTCACCAGACTTGAATGGGACAAACGAAGATGCACCGGCGCCTGATAACAAGCAAGTCAAAGGCGATGGTGTATTCAGTCAGATGGATACGGATGTATTTCGTCAGGTTCGATCGATCTCAACATTGTTTCATTTCTGCGCACCTTTTAAAGCCTTTTCACTCACTTGGCCAGCATTTATGCAAATTTATTGGAACAAAAGAAAGTTTTTACATATTAAGAAAAAGGTTCAATTCCCAGGACTGGGCCCGGTTGCATAAAACCTGCACTTAAGTGCTCACTAAAGGAGGTCACTTACGAATCCGTTATGGGTACACTTACGGGTGTTGCATGGAACACACTTAGCACTTTCGTAAGTTTCTGTTTTACGTGGTAACTTACGGGCTCATTTAAGGGCACACGTAACCTTGATGTACTACTTTATTAATGATTTACTCTTTTTTTTTTAAGTTAACCATCGGTGAGTGTAAAGAAAGGTAAAAGTCGTTTCGAACACTTTTAAGCCTCTCAAAAAATAAAATTTGCATGCAAACGTTATTTTTCTTCAATATCTACTGAAAATGATAGTTCTTCTTCTTTTTCACAAAAGTGTACATCAGAGGTTAACAAAGCACATTAGAACGAATTGCGTGAAGAAAAATACTTTTTTTCACTTCTCAGCAAAAGATCTCGTTAAATTTAGTAAAAACAGTAACGATACGGGACCTACATAGGTCCCGTAAATTTACGTACAATTTCTGTTGCATAAACGACACTTAAGTGAACACTTACGAAAATCGTAAGTGCAACCACTTAAGTGAATTCCCTAAGTGGACCACTTAAGTGATTTCATGCAACTGACTTAAGTTACGAGTGCACGTATGTGTACCCGTAGTTGTTACGGACGTTTTATGCAACCGGGCCCTGGTTCGGGACAGCATCATGGCTGCCATTGCACTGTTTTGGGACACAAATATGGTGGAGGTAACATCATGTGAAAACGCCCTGTATGAATGTCGTAATAGCTTTGGAACATTTTCTATTTCTCATAGAGCAGAGAGAAAGGTGGATTTTCTATTTAACTCGTTAAGTTTCTTCAAAACCAACTCACTGGACGCTGACTTTTTTTTTGCCAAAAAAGAGAGAAAAAGCACATCCTTGACACCTTCATTTCTTTTTCCTCTCACACAGGTACTTAAAGACGTGATTACAAAAAGGACGCTTGCCATAGAAAAAAGGGTACTGTCTGATGTGGAAGCGCTGAAAACGCAGGTCTGTGAATTGGAAGCTCAGAAAATACAACTTCAGTGTGACTCGGAGAGACTAAAGCAAACTTTAAAAGAGATATCTACAAAACAAGAAAAGGTAAGGTGGTTTAAACTCATGTCTGTAAGCTTACTTTAGGCCTACTAAATCAGTTTCTTGTATTTGATCAGCTACAATTCTTTCAGCACAGAGAAAAGGACGCTTGCCTTATGACATCGAAAATATCCCAATTCACAATCTGACAATGTTGAATTATTTGATAGAAACTAAAACAAGTTTATAAGGTAAGACAACAACAACAACAGTCAAACCTCCATTTAGGAGCCATTTACCAAGTCCTGTCGGACAAAAAAAGGCCAGTATATAACTAGAAACAGAACTTTTATTATAAAGGAGCCACTCCTTTCTTCTCCGAGAGTGGTCTAGCTTACAATATGAATTGCTCTTACGGTCTGTACGTACTGCTTATCAATCCATCACTTTCACCGAGACCATAATGTACCTTGCTTCCCCCAAAATTTTGCATAACCATTTCCAATCTCTGGATATAACAGTCGTCCCTTAACGTTGATGGAGGTAAGTATGTTTTAAAAGTATGAATTATTTTGAATAACAATAAATCAATTATTGGATTCGGCTTTCGTATGGTCTAAAACGTATGCAGATTTCGGAAGGTATTATCCTGCTTGGCCTATAACACCCCCCTCGATCTCCATAACTCTTCGGACCATACACAGCCTCATCCAATAATTATGAAATATTGACTTGATTATCGTGACGTTTAATGATTGATGATTTTATTGATTTTAACATGGATCACATTTGTGTACTTTTTTTCTTGACAGCAAAAAGTTCAGATGGTGTCTTGTGGAACTCAAGTCGACATGGAATTGGTACATGTATTCTCATGTTCTTTCCACTGGGGATATATGAGTCATTTCTTTTGGATCTGCTAGTACCCTTTAGATGATAATTATTATTGACGTTCTGAACAGGGCAGTGTCTTATATGTTTCCTATAGGCGAATCCTTGTTTACATTTTTTGCCTCATTAGCACAGGCTTATCATTATCTGATGAAGTTAACAAAATGTAATTTCTGAATATTGAAAGAGCATAACAATTTCAGTTGTCTCTGAAAATTTGAGCCCGATATACCGAATAGTTTCGGAGAAATTCTTTTCGAAAAACCCCAAAATTTACAAAGAATGTTTGAGCTCATTAACGTTTTCCCACCCAGTAATTTTGCAGTTTTTAATTGCTACTATTTTCTTTGTTACTGATCGCAAAGAGGTGAAACTTGCACAAACTGCATTAATTAACCGGCTCTTTTAATTTTTGAACCTCATTGATATATACGGCTACATCTTCCATGGGTTGACTCGTATGCTAATGAGCAAAAATGTAAACAATGACGTCACGATGAATCCGCCTACTAGAGCTGCAAACTTTGCAGCTCTAATAGGCGCAGGGCCTGCGCCACCAATCGCTTTGCTATAACCAAATCACCTATTAAACTTTGTAACCCCGGTTTAAGGGGCCGTGTCACGGCTGTCAAGTTCATTTTGTAAATAATGCCACTTATTCGTCCTTATGCGCTATGGAACTGGAGAAATTACTTGTCAATGACAAAATCAGAGCTTCGTGTCAAACAAATATGTCTTTGAAGCATTAAAATCAGACGTTTACACACAACAAAAATGGAACATTAAAAAAATGTTAGGCTAACAAGTTTTCAAAGACCACAATTGCAATCCTTTTCAGTCTTCTCCAAGTTTTTCCATCCGTGCCTCTTTTTGTATTTGATGTGTTATTAATGCTTTCTTTTAATGCTTTGAGCGGTTATTTGTTGATCCACTCAGTTTGGTGGCAGTTCCCACGGACCGAATTTTGATAAATTTCATGACACAGCTCCTTTAATTTATAATCTTTTGTGTGCACTATCCTAAACTAAGCCTAAGATTCTCTTCTCGAATTTCGCAGATAAGAAACATTTTCTTCCACGCAGCCACGATTGGCATATCGTTTGCTAAACTTAGTTATTTAACCATTTTACTTGATTTCACGGTTAAGTCTAACTAACAACTGTAATCCATTGTCACAGACAGTAACTGAAAAAATACTCTATGAAAAACGTGTGTCAAGTCAATGTTATTATACCAGCGGAAGGGATGGCCGAAGAGTAGCTTAATCGCGTCTAGTGAGACATAAAGTTATCGAAAAGCTACTCTTAAATGTGAGCCAAAATAATGTTATGATTGTTTTGTTATGAAATCAGCCTTCAAATAATATACACCTCATTTAACTTTTGAGGGGGGGTGGGCGGTGGGGTTGGGTTATTTCTATTTTCGAACTGTCAAATTCATACTAGGCTTCGAGGCTGAGGGAATAAAACAAAAGAAATGAATTAGTCATCTCGGAATCTCACTCTCAATTCTTTTTATTATATACCTTCATATCCAAGTACGAATTTTCATAATTCGATTCGAAACTGGCCTATTTCAAACTTTGCTTCCAAGCTAGCTGCTAAAATATTACATTAAAAATTATCTTTCATACTATAAGTTTGCAAATAGTGCCATTTTTGGGAAAGAAAGGGTTACGAATATAGCCTTACATTGTGATGACGTATTTTCTGAGTCTTTATGCATTTTGTTTCCCTTTAAGATAGAGGAAAGGCCACTTTCACCTGAGATTTCCAAACCAGTGAGGCCAAAATTTGTTTCTGAAAGGTCCATTCTTCTCAATCAGATGCGGAGTGCAAAAAATATACTGGAAAACCAAGGGGAGACAGTTGATAACGAAAAAGTGGTTGCTGAAAGCGGCGATAAGCAAAAGGTTTTTCTACAGACAACAGAAAAGAACGCTAAGCATTCAGGGACAACTGAATCGATGACTGTTTGCAGTAACTCTGGGATGAGTACAGCACAGAATGTTCCAGCTACTGCTCAAAATGTTACAAATGTATTGCTCGACAAAGATGTGTCCGTTGGGGTCTTAATTCAACCGCCATCTCAAGGACAAAAAATAACCACCGAAAGTGTGGTTACTCGAGATCCGCACGATAAACTGCTTTTGCGAAATATTCATAGTAGTGACAACACACAAACTCCGTTAAACTTTCGTCCGCTTTCTGTGGTGCGCGTTGAGGCACACCATGTGGGGCAAGAACAACAAAGCAATCATCAGCAATCACCACGACTTGACATGCCCCAACAAAAACGTGGCCCCCCAGGTCTAAATACTTCAGTGCCATCAGGGTATCCATGCATACAAAATTATCAAGGACATTTTTCACAGAGGTCAAGCGAATCGTTTCTTCCAAACCGACAGCAATTTTCTTCATGTCGATGGCTAGGTTCATCACCAAATCAGGCCAATCAAAATGGCCATGTTCATCGTCAACCACATCCTTCGGTGTATAACAGGCCAACGGATTTAACTAATCACAGATCTAATGCTACTCCTCCTGGTGGTCCTCATAAGGTAACATTTTTTGATCAACCAAAAAGACGACGGGTTGAAAATATGTCTTCTTCGAATGTTCAGCGCACGAATATTGTCAGTAGTAACGAAAATTATGTTATGGAACACTTTAAGGTTCAGAGAACCCCTGTGGGTCCGGGAGCTGCACGCAGTCAAAAGTACATGCAAACGTATGGACCTGTAACAACAAATCAAGCACCTTACATCAGTAGGCCATTAAATCACCCGCCCGGCACACATTTCAATCAGGGGGTTCCAAATAGTCGACCGCCTCCTAATGCCTCTCTCCATGCGATAAATAAGGCTCCAAATCGCCCACCAGGGGGATTTTCGCAAGGTCAGCTAGTTGAAAAGGTGCTTTACCCTACTGCTGGATCACAACCCGTCGGCAACGCATATCAGGACTACCAAAGAGTTATGTTACCTGGTCCACATCGTCGCACTGAAAACGGACAAGCCTCTAATAAGTCTTCTCAGTCGAATAACACGGTGTACGTCGTACAGGAACACCAGGTGCTGAGCCAATACAATGTAAGCTAAGCTTTAAACCTCCCCACAGTCGCTGTTAGGAACAAAAAAAGAAATTTTACCTGTCAATCGTGAGACATTATAGAAGTTTTGCTACGAGATGTCCGTTGATCACGTCATGAAGGTTTCATTCACAAAATCAAAAGTTTGAGCCACACTACAATACTCATCCTTTCACCCCTACAGTGAATGATCGAGTCTTGCAAGGTTGTTCTGGCTTTTGAGTCTGTGGAAAAAATCCCATAGTGTGACCATTCAAACGGAACCCTTTTGACAGCGCTTTCACACGGTTTTACAAAGCGACATAGGGAGTTCTTTTTGAGATTTAACTTTAGCCAATATTGGCAGTGCAGGGGTTAAGGGTATTCTGTTAATGAATGGGTTAATAAATTCAAACATCTTATTGTTGCTGCGAGCAATGAGAAAAATGTCCTCGCTTGTTGTCTAAAAAACTTCACCACTAGCATATACGAATGTTGGCTAACATATTCAAATTAATTAAATTTAATGAACAACATTTACTTATATCTTTAAGACTATCCTGTTAATTTCATGTCCCTCATCCTTAGGTGTCACGATCCAGGACTACACCACTTCAATCAATCGCCCCAGCGCCAGCTCCTGTTCCACGAAACCCAACGTGCCCACCAGTACAGTCCCCTGGAATATCATCCACTGCCTCACCTTCCGCTTGTCATCCGGGAGGGCCAAATGCTGGACAAGTTTCTCATGCTGTTTCTCACCCGTCAAATGCTAATGCAGTTAGAACCAGCATCACACAGACGTCGTTAAAGACACCTCCAAAACCTACTGCGTCCATCGTAGTAGTTCAGGATGGTATTGTCCTCTCGTGGAACATGAAACTTGACGACTCAACAGCCAAAATCGATAATTATGAATTATTTGCTTGCCAGGATGGCGCCGAAAGCACAAATCCGCCGATTATGTGGAAGAAGATTGGTATTGTTAAAGCCCTGCCTCTTCCCATGGCGTGTACGTTAACTCAGTTCTCTTCAGGAAATAAGTATCATTTCGCCGTTCGCGCGGTGGATGATCAAGAACGAGCAGGACCCTTCAGTGATCCTTGTACCATTGCTTTGACGAATTAGAGTGTGTCCTAACCAGCATTTCAGAACGGTTTCATATGGTTTTTGCGTTGCACCATCAGGTATTTTGCATCAGAAGTAGACAAATTCTTGAAGCGTGGAGATTTAAGGAGCCAGGTTTGATCCTTTGCTACATAATCGCCCTCTTTTTCAGCTAAGGATCTTTCTTTGCACTCTATCTCCGCTTAGTCGAAAAAATGGGTATGGGCGACATTTTGTTGGCCAACCATGTGACGGATAAGCTTCCTGACAAGACGGAGGAGGGAGAGTTCTGGAGAGTTTGAGAGTGCTTCAGGCCACTGAAACCGGGGTAATCATTATGGGCCTAATAGAGTTCTGAAGTGTTGAGGTCATGAAAATTAAATTTGTGAAATTATGGGATTTGTCAGGATATTCTGAAAGAACAATGTCCAAGACGCCTACTTGCTAAGAATCAGTATTTCGGGGCAAATTGTCTCTGAGTTATTAGCCCACTTATACTCTAATGAGTCCATGCGAATCCTTCTAAATTTGACTTGGGTCTAAACGTTTAGACTCAAGTCAAATTTAGAAGGATTTGTACGGAGTCATCAGAACATAACTGGACCCATTTCTCAGGGACAATTTGCCCCACAGACTCTGTGATTTGTCTTACTGTGGCGATCCACTGAAGAGGTCGTTAGACGAAACTAGTTCTGTGTATCGCCATATAAACTTAATAGTGTGTTAAAAGTGGAAACAAATTTTTTTTTTCTTTTGTTTACTGACATAATCCCATAATTTTACAAGTTTAATTTTTTTTGACGTCACACTTTAGAACTCTTTTAGCTCCGCCTTTACTTTAATCAGAACTTGGGCTAAATAAATTTAGTAGGCGTCTGGAGCAGAAAATCGGCTGAGAGCAAGGTACGATTTGTATGAGTTATCCCTCTGATCGTTTTCTCGACAACAGTAATGATATATTCTGTGTATGCTGATATGCCATCTCTTTAAACTTTACGTTCTGACTAAAAGGTAGAGACGATCTGCGAGCGAATGAAAGAGTGGCGTGCTTTTTTCCACACAGGCTTAGCAAGAATGACAATTCCAAGCCTAGTTATGGTCGAGGTTGCTTCTATTTGCAAGGCTTGATGAATACATTTTTCTCGTTGCATATAAAGCCCCATACACAAGTTATGTAAAAAAACCCCAATCCGTCTAGTTTCCGCCCATTATTAGATAGATCACAGATGACCTTGTGATAACTGCAAAAGACCATGGTACAGTCTTGAATGTGAGACTGAGTTCACATTGTAATAATCAAAAGAATCAGAAGGTAATATCATTTGTCATGAGTGGTCGCGCAATAATTTTATAATTTTGTCATCAGCTGGAACTGCATCTTATTATTTTGCAATTACCTTCTCTTTACTCAAGGTTTACAAAACAGTTTTCATATTTCGTCTCAATGCTGTAATTTGTCATAAAAGAAAAAAAAGGAATCATAAAAAAAACATAAATGTCATTCGTCCACAACTTTCATGAACCACTGAACAAGACAAATGTAAATGATATACATGTTCACCAAATCTCTCTTTACCAGTCCATGGGCAATTTGCAGCTAAACAGTGACATGATACAACAAAACCTCGCTGAAGAGCAAATAAAACTTCGGGATCTTGAAAGAAATACTCTCCAGCAAGGTGTTTTTGTGCCACGCGCCTCTCTAGCTGCAAAGGGCTCATTGAATGGCAGATTAGTGATGGTCACATGATCGGAAACGACCAGGAGACCCACGATTAAAATATTCTTACCTATAAATCCGGAGTCTGAAGCATATATTTTCATTAAATTAAAAATCATTATTTTTGAAAACGAACCGTGCTTATTTTGGTATTTATCTTTGAAAATGTAAATAACCGTAGAGAAAGAATGTGGTATTTATGATTTGCCAGATGATACTATTATAGCAACAAATAAATGTATAGTAATTAAGTGTGGAGCCTCTTCTTTAATTCAATTCAGTCAGTGAATTATTCGAAAAAGTCAATAGGCCACGTGCACTAAGAGGTCACGTGACCAGTGCTTCCTTTTAAACAATGGGTTGGAATCTTTCTGATGCCAAAAATTGACGGAGCGCATAAAAATTATCTTACGCTCGAAATTTGAGAGGAAACGAATTTAAGGAAAATATTTTATGGCACTTTGATTTTTCAACAAAGTAGTATGGTTTGTATTGGCCGCCATGTTGGAGGGCATATTCTTGCCCTCCAACATTGCAGCCAAAACTGCCCTTTTTGCTTTTATCTTGTTAAACGTTATATTTTTATGCTCAGATGTGCTGAAAACGTTACCACAGCATCTTTTCAACAATTTCCTTGAAGTTTAAGTGCAAAATTTCTGTTCAGAAAGAGGTAATTCATAGTTTTAAAAATCACATTTTGGTCACGTGACCAGCTACGAACTGACTCATTTTAAGAAAATGGAGTGGGTTTGAAAAACTAAATCACTATTATTTTGTGTAAGGTATGACCCACTAATCGTTTTTTGAAGGCAAAATCATTTAACTTTCATTTTCATAAAAATGATGTCATTTTTCTAGATTTTAAACCTTCAACAGTGTAGTAGTAGTAGTAGTAATAGTAATAGTGGTAATGGTAGTGGTGGTGGTGGTAGTGGTAGTGATAGTGGTAGTGGTAGTTATGGTGGTAGTGGTAGCGGTGGTGATGGTAGTGGTAATAATAGTGGTGGTGGTGGTGGTGGTGGTAGTAGTAGTAGTAGTGGTGGTGAACTTTAGCAGTCTATTAACGTGTCAAGAATCTCTATCGCAACAAGCAGCAGTAATTGGTGAATAACTGAGAGAAAATACCAAATATCAATGGAAAAAGTCACTGGACCACACGGCTTATGATTTAGCCATAATATTCAATTATAGCCTTACAATTCTGTTTTGCAGTTATTCCAATACCCATAAAATCTTTGTCTTCTGATTCAATTATGTACCTCAAAATTGGCTTTCTAGCTAATATTGCTCATGCCTTTTCTATCTCTGGTACTGTTAAGTCGCATCCCGATATTTCTCATTCTATAGGTCACGTGACTAAGAGCTTCAAAGAACCTATTGTGAGAATGTTTGTAAACAGAACAAATTTCGCGGGACAAGAAGTGTTGTCGAATACGCTATGAATCCGAGCAGCCAATGCACTCATCGAGGTTTTGAGGGTCTACTATGACCATTACTGCGCAAATACGTACACTCACAGCCGCTAAGAAGTCCTCATCCTGAATTTTACTTGTAAATGAATTTAAACTTTTTTCCTTGTAAGGTATAATTGGCCGAGGCCTATTGCAAACAGCTTGGAAGGTTTCGGTTAAAAAAGTTTCGGATCAGGGAGATCAGGCATTTAATATCAATACCGCATTTAAACCTTTGGAGATCAGACGCTTTTCATTCCAAATGGTACGATGCAGATTTCGCATTTATGGCCCACATTTAGCTTTCATAAGCAATTAAGTTAATAGCCAGCGAATTAAAGAAAGATAGATCTTTTTTCAGGTACCTTTTTTGGAAATTCTGACTAATCTTGCCAGAGTTACACTCAAAATACTCTATTCTACAGGGGAACCTCAATCTGCCGAAAGGCTTAAGACACTGACAATGTGCGTTCGCTATAACGATGTTTGGTTATATATATCATGGTTCTTTTCCATATATTTCAGTTTTCAATGGGGCGAACACTATCGTTCGTTTTACTGAGGACTGCCAACATTTGAGGTTTGTTATATCAAGATTCCATTATTAACGTTTTAGGGAAACATTCACTGCCAATTTTCCAAATTTAGAAGTTAGACAACCACAATTCCATAGGAAATAAATACGATAAAAGGGGGAAAGCGCTGGTCATAAAAAAGAAAGGCAGGGGAAACAAAGTGAGCAAAAAAGAGAGATTGAAAACGATTTGCAAAAGAAAAATGGCTTGCGCGCATGCGCAAAAGTTTGAATACATCCGATTAGCAGGAAAATACGCCTTTAGTGTTGCAAATCTCATTTATAGACATTTTCATGCCAGTTGATGGGAAACTGGACCATGAAGGAGGATTTGTTTAAAATGGTCCTTTTTTTCGCTACAAGCCGTCGAGGAGGGTTTAATTATAACACGATATTTTCCTATTCCTTTGGTTATAATTTTTAAGCAGACAGTCTGAATTTTAAGGACCGACAAAATTAGGCCATGAAATGTCAATGTGATCTCGGAGACTACTCATTAGTAACTAGCCCTGAAAAAGGTAGGAGTCTGCTGAAACATGTATGTGAAATTCAAAAGCGCCTTGATAGTTTTGATATTAACTACCAGCCTATTGCTCTCTTGACCTTTCTTACTGTTCAATTGATAATACGAATTTAATTACCCTGAATCGTTTTTTGATCATTGGTCAGTTGTTAAATGTGTGAAACATTTTACACGGCTTAGTTTTGTGTTTGTTTTACTGGGTAAATGGAAATAAATTCCTGAACATAATGAAATAAATTTCTCTCACGACAAGTACCAACTGTCGCGATTCACTAATAAAAACAAATTGCGCAAACATAAAACAAAGGCAGTTAGCAATTGGGAACTGACTGTCAAGAGTCAAACGAATTCTCAGTATGGCTCTTAACTCCCGCCTTTTTATGCGCGCTTCGGTGAACTAGAAAGGCTACCTGTAATTCACGCGGGCTAAATAATATTGTCACCGGTAGGCGGATAAAATATTTAGTCAGAACGAAGAAAATCTAAACATTTTTGTATCTCCATGAAAAAATGGGAATTTCTCAATTCTATTACAAAGTTGAGCTTTGCACGGATGCCTTAAAGGCAAAAGCAGTTTGTTCGAAGTGCTGTTACATATAACTGGTTTGTACAAGTGTTGTCATGAGTCACATTAGGTAATTGTTGTTCCTGTCACATTGTTCAGTGATCTATTCTATAATATATGAACACACGTGTTACTTACGAAATGATATTTCTCCAGTGCAGGCCCTCTGCCACACGATAGGAGATTTTTAAGGCTTGAGTGAAATCGTCCGAACCACAGAGTAGAAAGGTAAGTCCACGGTGAATGTGTATGGGAACTTTTGTTTCAAAAGAGGAGCCTGCGGCAAATATCTGACCAAATAGCCATTTACATAATAGTTTTGCCTACATGGTGTAGTTGATAAATTATTTTCAAAACATTCCAAAGTTTACTGTTCCTCGTATGTTCGCCAGGAGAGGTAAAAAAATTGTTATTATTAGTAAAAATGTTGTTTTTATTAGTTGTTCAAGTTCAGCTTTGGACATAAAGAAATTCATCAAATGTTGGTCAAGAAATTGGTCATTAAAAGTGTCCTTGATTCTAACTGCCGTGACATTCTTGCAGGTAAAACTACTTTTGACGCCTTAGGCGAGGTCTAGTCCCCATTTCTTTAACAACTCTCACATTTATACCCAGATATTCTTAATTTCAAGTTAAGCATGGAGATCGAGGCTAACACAAAATCCTCCCGGTTAGCGTATGAAGCCCAAAGGCCTTGGAATTACACAGTTTCTCTAACACTTAAGTTTCATCTTCGTAATTTATTATTTGTCATTTCTACAGACATTATGAAGTATTGGAGTTGTATTTTTCTAACGCTTCTCATCACCCTTGCATCTCGAGGTGAGTTTTTTTCGATTGTATAATTACGTCGTGTTATGGCCCAATCTTATAATCGAAAAGCGTGCTGATATTAGTGGTTCAGATCCTGATGAATCCGTTTAACCCGATAAAGATAAAGCCTAAAAAGTTAAATCAAAATTAGCTGTTGAAACCTGGAGTTTACAATAACATGGGACAATCGTAGACAAAACCACAAGGTATAATAACGTGTATTTAGACCTTTTTGGAAAGGCGTCCTTGTAGTTGGTGGTAAATTCATAGTAAACAAAACAAAACCAAGCTGTCATGATTCAGGTAGAAAGTTCTCATCAGCCAGCTGTGAGTGTACTTAGATTTAACCCATATATACACAGACTTTGAAACTGGCGATAATATTGTGTAGAATGGAATATTCGCCTTTCCAAAAATCTCAATTATTACGCACGAATTTCAGCGAAAACAGTAAGGTGAACAACTGTTTCAGTATGAAGAATCCCTGTCAACATATTTTCTTTATCTTCTTTCAAATAGTAAATACAAAAGGGGAGGATCTTCGATGACAGCCCCTTGGGATTGATTACAGACACCATTTAAGACCTCCTTTTTACTAAAGTGCTATACACTACTTTTATCGGTGGCGTCGACACTCTATCGACCTAGATTTTGACCTTCTCGCAACCGTTCTATTCAAGCCAACACCTGTACTTAATACGATTCCGTCACGGCTGCGTTCACATTTTTATTACGGGCAAATTAAAGGCCATGGCGGGGAGTTTAATTCAAACTGCATCGTTCTTAAGTTCCAAGAGTTCTCCTCATAGTCTTTGCCTGCAGGAGGCTGATACTGACATAAACTGTATTTTGTATTTTTTACGACCCCTCTGTTAATAACACTACTTAGTTATTACAACTACATTTACTCGGACAAAACGTCTTTATTCTCAGTCTTTATTCCTTTTTTGAAAACACCACGTCTACCAGATTTTCACGGGCCTCCAGGTGGTCGCAATAACGGGTTTCCTCATTAAAAAGAATTAAAGGAAGTCAGTCCTTAAATTCGAAGTCATTCCTTAAATTTCTTTGGAGGAGCCAAGGTGACTTTTTCTTGCCTTTGTCAATACCTTTGAAATAACTTTTCAACATAGCAATCCTATTAATCGGGGGAATGATTTCTTAAATTTATCTTGAAAAAACACACAATGAAGCAGGTTTCCCAGTTGCGCCGGAAGTTCTTGTTCATAGTCTTAAGCGACATACACGTAGAAAGACAAATTGCTAGCAGTAAACGGCATTGCTACACAGTTACAAGTAAGTTGAATTTGACCGCTTGGGGAAATGTAGCCCTGAATAGCCCTAAGAATGATGTTGACTGACGTTACGACAACATGTGCGGTAGTCACCTTCAGAGTTAAAGTAAGTTGTATATATGTCGCTATTGTTGCACAGTAGGCAACATGCGTAAGATGGAGAAAAACGATATCATATATACAACATACAAAATGTGTTTCAACATCAATTGAACAGCTCAAGAGTGTCGCGGGAACAATGCTAGCATAATTTTGTTCCTAGAACTTATTCAGTGCCCTACTATCACAGAAAGGAAAATCGCATCGAGACTAATACAATGCCAGCTGCTGAGTCAGAAAAAGTTACATAAAGATGAACATCCCCCCAAATTACCTAAATCAAGACACATACTTGTATGACGAATTAAATGTGATAACAGCGAAGACATACATGTGTATGAGCAACTCAAGAGAGTAGTTGCAGTAGAAATGGAAGGTTTTAGATACGAATTGCACTAGAATTTTTCAGTTTCAAAAATATTTGTTATCGGTAACATATTACTGAACAGAGCATTGTTGTACCAACAGAAAAGTAGCTATATGTAAACGAAGAAGATGATTTGGGGCTAGTAGGGTTATTGGGCTTTCATTAGCGTGTTTGAATGTAGTTTGCACTTTTGCGAATAGGTAAATAATATATTTGTAATGTAAAACTATAAGACAGGTTAATGAATAAGGTCGCTTAATTGGTAAGTTTGGTCCGTTGTATAAAATCCAACGTCAAGGTTGACTACTTGTACTCCTTTTAAGCTGATAGTAACATTAGACAAATGCTGAAATTTCACACATACAGGCTGCACACCTGTTAAAACACGGAGTAAACGCTTAAAACTAGTTTAAAGTACTGTGCAACGTAAAAAGAGCACTATCAGCTACATCACCATTCCAGATGTGATCCATGCTCGGCCAAGAGACGTCCATTCTCCAGTACCAGACACTCCTCTATCACCAGAAACACCAGGGACACCGGAAACACCGGTCACTAAAGAAACACCTGAGACGCCCCGGACACCAGAGACCCCTGTCACCCCACTTACACCTGAGACGCCAAGTACCCCGGTATCTCCACGGACACCCGAGACTCCAAGAACACCCGAAACACCCAAAACACCAGACACTCCTCAAACACCGGAGTTTCCATTTGTTTTAGGCTCAGACGGCTTTATTTATCATACTGTCCCATATATGCATATCTTTCCGCAAGAGATACCACGTATGCCCAGTCCGGGTGATATACCGGAAGTTTCCATGGTTCAAGATCAGTACGATGTGCCTAAGGCTCCCAAACCACCTAAACCCCCGGAACCTCCCAAAGCCCCCGTCAGAAAGAGAGAATATTTGGCGAGAGGTAACTACATGATGTAAATGATGGAAGTGTCATAAGGTGCGCATGCGTGATAAAAAAGACGAAATTGAAAAAATAGAAGATTATGCTTTCCAACGCCCATATCAACCAAAGTAGTCCTCTGTTGTCACGTACGTTTCTGGCACGTTAGAATTTGAGAAAGGAAACTCTATTCATTCTGTTTTGTTTCTCATTATTTGGTCTTCATGAATAAAAAGGACATGTATCACCCAAAGCAAAAGACCAAATCAACCAAATAAAAATGCATAGAGCTAGGATTGATTGATTCAGAAGGAGCCAATCAGTTCTGCCTTGCTCCAATGAATGCATACAAAGGAATGATCTAATTAGTTCACAAAGTTGTGCAATGTTTTTTAGCCAATCAGAAAGTTTACCTTATTATTACTTTTGTTGAAACCTCAGCGCAGTCAAACGGCTAAGGCAACTTCTGCTTTATTCATTTATTTGCTCGTTTATACTAACATTTGTACAGGAGTATCCAGTTTTGCACTTTTTTTTTTTCAATAATACAAGAGACATCCTTTAAACATAGTGAGCTTTTTTCACGGAAAAGGCTATGCGTCCCAGCAAATTTGGCATGGAAAATGTAGTCTATAGTTTCAGCTTTCAAATTCCTGAGATCTATTATAGTAAACTTTCCCAGAGTTTAGCGAGTTTACTACACTTTTAACAGTGAAATGACAACGTATGTTTTGAAGAACTTTGCTTGTGTTTCTGCAGCGTTCAGTCACTTTTTGACGATAGCAAGGTTTGTATAAATGCTTCATACCCGGGTATGAGTAAAAAAAAATCAGGATCATTTCTTTCGATAACAGTACGTAATATGCATGCGTAGTTTATGATCACAAGTTTTGAAAGAGTATTGTAACATTTGTGCCTAGCAATAGTAAAGCAGAGTGTACTATTCAAAGTATATAATAAGTGTTGACTACACTCAAATCGGTAAGCTGGGTTATTGTAAATTTTCACCCACAGTGTGCTATAAAGAGGTAAAACTTACCATAAAAACATTTATAGATTTATAGGTCGAACACTTCACCGCTTTCTGATCCAGACGCAAAATATTAGCTTGCGAAGTTCGAGAATGCGCGGAGAGCAAAACTTCGAGAGAGTTTTTGGGTTTAAAAGTGACACAGCAGTATTGACGATTACTTTTCGCTTTCTCTCCTCACCTCTTTCTTAAGCTTTTCTTGCCTCTTTTTCGTTTCTTTTGCTGGGCATTTAGTAGCCTTCATTTCTGTGTGAAAAGTTTTTAAGAGGGCTTTTAGGATCTTAGCATTAAATGAAAGGAAAGGCAGGTGGGTAGTTGAACAAGATTTTCATCGAAAATCAATGTTACATGTTAGGCTGCGTGCAAACGGACGCAACAACTCTCAACATCGTTGCGCCAACAATGTTGGGAGTTGCTGCGTGCGTGTTGGCAGTGGTGTGCAAACGGATGCAACAATTCCCATCAATGTTGGGACCTGCAGTCCATCGTGTGGTAAGGATACAACCCATCAGTCTTTGTAAACCATGCGTAATGAGCGTGCTTGGCCCCAACAATGTTGGAAGAGCTGTGCAAACGGATGCAACATTGTTGCGTTACGCTTCGGCAATCACGGAACAAAAGAAATGTTGGGAGTTGTTGGCTGAAATGTTTGACCGGTTTCAAACTTTGCGCGACAACATCCAACAACATGCAACAGGGTGTGCAAACGGACGCAACATGTACCATCCAACAAAGTTGAGAGTTGTTGGCCAACAATGTTGTGTCCGTTTGCACGGGGCCTTGCAAATCAATGTTACATGGTTTTTTGGCTTTTTCTCCGGTGTCCTTAACTAAATTGTGCTCATTCTGGTATGGTTTTCAAGATCTCTTGACTCTGTACAAGTAAGCGGGTAAAGTTTTCCATGACCATTAAAACTGATGACGTCAAAAGTAGTAGAAGGGACCTGGATCCGCACGGGCGGTTACGGGCGGCTCGGGGGCGAATGGGTTAAGTAAGACTCAAGTTGGGTGGTAGCTTTTAGTACTGACATATTGGGTTCATCGACAAGTGTGCGATAAAAATGCCCGTGCTAAATCAAACAAAAGGAGTGGCTCATTCAATATTCAGGGAAAGAACGATTTCTCACTTCTAAAAAGTGCAAATTAAGGCTGGAGTTCAAGAAATCGTATTAAATTTCAAGACCTCCTTCTTCCCTATACTTTATGAACTATTAGCAACTTTGATTAGTCCTACACACTAGCACTGCAACTAAGCTTACACCAGTGGTCAATATAATGAAACTATGACAACTTTAATTTATAAGCAAAGCTGCTATTTTACAGTCTGACAAAAACAATTACTCTTAAGTCATCTCTACATTGAAATAAAGTGGTCATCATTACGAGAAACCTTGTCTCATATTGTTTATCTCTTTTACAGGTTTTGCCCGGAAACACTCAAGTGAGTACTATTGAAAGAATTGTTAAACTTAACAAGAACTTCATAACAAAAACCGATAAAAAACGTTAATTAGGAAAAATCGTACAGCTAGACATACGGGCTGTTTTTATTTATTGTAAATAGTAGTTTTCTAAATTGCCATCTTCTGAAAGTGGTGATTTACTGCCGTCGAAAGACTTAAATATTGTACATAAACTGCAAAGTGGAACAGGGCAAATTGACTAGTAAGCTCATGTTCAAAGGTTCCTCTTCCTCCAAAGACCCATCAACTGCAGCCTATCCAGTTTAGCATACTATATTAGGTTGTTTTCACTCACGTGGTGGCAACTATGCAAGTTTCTTGGAACTAGAGAACGGTTTTAACACGAGATAGAGTTCAATCCCTACTGGACTATGGCCAAACACCACATCAAACATAGCCACCGTTTCACTGTTTTATACTCCAACATGGCCGCTGTGATTTCATGTTAAAATGATCTATAGTTTTTACCTCGGCTGTGAAAATCTTTTTCTGTATTCCTATTGAAATTAATCGTGCAGCCGCCACGGCAAAGTAGTCCTCTCACTGTTGTCACGAACGTTTCTGGCACGTTAGTCTTTGAGAAAGGAAACTTTATTCATTCTGTTTTGTTTCTCATTATTTGGTCTTCATGAAGAAAAAGGACATGTATCACACAAAGCAACCAAAAAACAGGGAGGTAGGTACTGAGTTAAACTAGCGACAGCGTACGATGGAGGAAAGCGTCTTCTTATTTTCATTAATCCCAAGGAATATAAAATACTTTGTTAAGTCTCGAATTCTATGGAATTACATTTCCATATTGTGTAATTACAATCGAGGGCTCAATAATTTAATATAGACTCATTTGCATTGTGGAGGTGTTAGTTTAAGAACATCCGCACTTTAAGTTCCTTGGGATTAACCGTGTCTACAAAATACATGAATTAGACATTCGTGCTGGAAGAGTACGCACCAAGGGATCATGTTACAGCATTCACAGTACAAACACGGCATAAAATGACATTTTTGACAACTTTTTCAGAACAAAAATACATACGTGCATACGACGAATAATGCTGGCTTCTCGAAAGGCGAGCCAACACGCATAGATCACAAAAACACATACCCTGCTTCGCCTACCTTGAAGTTGGACCATCTGTAGCATACGCAGTTTGAAATCAATAACAACACTTTTGCGATACAATTTCCTTTGAAGGAAGAAAACAAAAAAAAAACACTTCTAACCATGTTGTATCACATAAAAAAAGCATTCTAATCGATTTTGGAAATAAAAAAAAATGTATTTGACAGTTGCTCGTGTTTGCCAGGAGTGTTTGGTGTTCATAATTCCCTGGTAAGTAGCTTTCTCTTTTAAATTAGTAATAGCTCCTTCTTTTCTTGTGGTTGGCACATATGAACAGGGCATCATCGCCATGGGAATATCATACAAGGTATGTCAAGGACAGAGAACTCAAGCAAAAAATCTGGCGATTTCCAACAAGGTTAAAACATAATTTTACTTATTGCATGCCAAAGCCTGACACTTGTTGAGTACTCCAACAATGAGACGTCAGCTTAATTTAAGGTAATCATTTTTCACCACTGATTGGTTTTATCGCCATTTCAGTAACACGCGATAATTCACAGGAAAAAAGGACTGAAATGTTTACACTTGAACAGATGGCATGAAAGGATCTTGAATCTTTTACGGGGGTTCAAAGTCAGCACCAATTTAGCACGAGTGGCCTTTCGGGCATTGACAAGGACAATCCACCACCGTTTTAGGTGTTCTAAACGTTACACCAGCTGTGCTTATGAGGAATATGTTACTATGAGAAACATATTAACAAATGGCCGGATTGAGGATTTGTCGCATTCCTCTCGGTGTGATGAAAACATTGACAGCAAAAAGTCGAAGTCACAAAAGCAAGCCGAGAGTAGCAGAAATTACTATTAACTTATTCGTATTAAAATAAGGTGACACATAATCCAATGAATGCCGTTTAAATTGGAATCTCACTGATACTATAACTCTTTCCGGAGGATAAAAATTATGTTTATCACTGAACAGTTCACTCAAAATCGTGTGATTTCATTTGCCAATTAACTATGGAAATCCCTATGCTAAATTAAATGTTGCCTTCCCTCAGCCACGCTAATAACTAATAGTAAATCAGTAAACTCTTTAACTAACATTAGAAGAAGACGTTTTCTTCTCATCAGTTTCTTTTAGCAATCTTTTACACAATGTCTAATATAACGGGAACATTTTTTGAACAACTTCAGTAGTAGTAGGAAAGCTAGCTGAGAATTTGGACTCATTCAATAAAGGAACGTCAGACTTATTTTATCTGTCTTCCTTTTTCTCATTTCAGTTCCAGGACTTATGGATGCTGGGCCAACCTTGGGGGGAGGAGCTGGTGGTAAGATGGCTTAAATTATATTAAATCCCCTAGGTAGGTTTTTCTTAAATCTGTGACTTTTAGGAAGTTAAAAGATATAGTTCAATGCCATGCGACTACGAAGTTACCACCGAACCGAGAAACCAAAGACCTTTCTTTCCTTGTAAACTGAGGCAAAGTTAGATAGTATGGATTGAAATCTTGTAACGTCCAAATACGACGAAACTTCGGTTTTTGGATGTAACTAAAGGAGTTGGAGCAGCAATCGAGACGAATGGATTTCTTTGCGAATGTGTTGCAGCAATTATTGATCTCTCCGTTTTTTCCTGGTCTTGTTTTTATAGGAATGAATGGAATAGGAGGAATGGGAGGGATGGGAGACCTAAGCATGGGCTTTGGTGCTGGAGCTACGTCTATCGGTGAAGGAGGTGGGGCCACAATGGAAGGTATGCCCATGCAGATGCCAGGAGCTATGGCTGCACCTGCTGCAATGCAGATGCAACAAGGCATGGAGGGAGGACCTATGGGAGTGCCTATGGGAGCCTCTCAAGAGGGCGCACCCATCTCAAAGCAGTTTATTGAAGGCGGTGAAGCAGGTGTGTATGATACACGATGAGAAGAATGAGCAAGATAAGAACAACTACTTCAATGGTCTAGCTGCCGTGTAAGACCCAGGAGGCTGAGTAACATCTGGAGAATTATGGAGATCTCGGAGGGTGTTATCTGCCGAGGCCGTGAGATCTCCATAACTCTTCAGATAATACGAAAGCCAAATTTAATAAATTGTTTTATTGTTCATTAAAAATAAGCCCTAGTTTAAAAACAAGCTCAAACATGCTTACCTCCATCGATTTTCCGTTCATCTTAGATAGTGCATGTTTATCGGCAAGTTTAGGAGATGAAGACTTCTTCAATTTTCCAAATATTCTCCAAATAGCAGATGTCGTCCGTCAATAGTTCGCCTATTTCCTCCTCGTGAAAGGAGTGAAATGTTCCGCCATTTTGCACTCACCATCAAAACAACTCAACAAAAAAAATTAATTGTATCAAAACTCTTGAGTAAATGAACAACTTTGATTTGCACAATGCCACGCAATGTAATGGCAATGTTTCGCACTGGTAAAGAACCAAGTCCGGGACTGGTCTGCATAAGCAAATTCAAAAGCTTTCGTTGCAGCGCGTAATTTTTCAAATAATATCTCTGATGATACCGAACTGTAGTAGATATCTTTTGGATGACATTCAGAACATTTAGATGGATTATGCATGGATATCGTCGGCAAATTGATGCAGGTTTGAAATTCTCTTATTGTTTCAGGCATGGCAGGTGGTATGCATGGAATGTCGCAAATGGCAGGAATGGCAGGCATGGGTGGTATGGGAGGACTTCCGCAAATGGGAGGAATGGCTGGTATGGGTGGAATGGGTGGAATGGGAGGCTTTGGAGGAATGGGTGGTGGAATCGCGGGTATGAACATGGAAGGAGGTAAGATAAAGATGTCCTGGATTCAATCATTCTGAATTCTATTTGGTCAAATAAAAGGGATCTTAAATGGCAACCGGAAAATGACATTTTCTCTCTTACAGTGCTCTGACTCGAGACTCGAGAGTTCCATCAAGCGAGATATCGAACTTCATGACGTTCTGGACGTCTACGTTCTCGTTGCTTAAGGTCCCTAATATGGCCTAAGGACCCCGTTACACTTGCCAGTTTTCCTTGCAATCTGTTTCACAATTTTGTTTCGCCATTGCGAGACAAGTTGCACAAAGAGGATCCTGGTAAAATCCACTGAAGTGAACGTATCTCCTAAACTGTCTATTTCAGTTGGCACTGCGAATAAACTTTTTTGTACATCGTGTAACTCATAGCTACAACAAAAATATTGCGAAACATGTTCATTTCAAGCGGTGTAACTCTGGGCAGTTTTTCTAGCAAATTTTCTGATAACAAAATTGTAAGATAACAGGGCCTTAAGGAATAATTTGGTCTGACTCTCTACATCTACCATACCAATTCGTCCTTCGTATTTCTTGTTTTACAGGTATGCCTAGCATGGGAGGACTAGGAAATGCTGGCGGGGCAGGAGCTATGTTTACGGGAGCTCAGGAAATGGAAGGCCAGATGGGAGGGGGTATGGGCGGACCGATGGCTAATGTCATTCAAGGTGCTCTTGGTGGTGGTGTGCCGGGTATGGCACAAAAGCGAACGAAGATGGGGAAAGTGCACAAGTTGTTGAGTAAACTTAGCAAGAGAAAGGAAATCAAGAAGCATCAGCATAAGAACTGAAAGAGAATAACGCCTGAAAATGCCGGGAGAGGAGACCTTGTAGGAATGGAAAGAACCGCTCGAAAGAATCTGATCCAAATCTCGATGGACAGCAACATTATATTTAAAAGTTGTCAGCTTTAGTAAAGCTGATGAAATTTATGCGTGATATCCAAGAAGTTTAACAAAATTATTAAAAAATATTTTCAAGTATCGTCGTTTAAAAGATCACTTCAACAAAACAAGGCAGTCTCTAAATATCAACAGAAAGTAATAAAAAATGATTTGCAACTGCATTGAAAAAAAGAGGAAAGAAATGCCAAATTTAACCGTCAGACTTGTTTGTATAACCATATAACTGCTACAATTTGTATACAGATTTTAAGATATCAGTTTTCATTTTAATTAATTTTTTTTATTTCCTATCATATCATGAAAAATAAGCAGAAATAAAACTGTCACCAACACATTACAGCTAAGCGTTTCATCATAATAATTGGTGAATAAAAATAGACTACCCAAATTTTTCAAGCTCTTAAGCCCGAATCAAGACCCTCTTCGTTATTCAATGGTGATTTATTAGCATTATTTCAAGAGGTTTTATGGTGCCTTACGAGTTACTTTTAGTTCATTTCCACGGAGAACAGGATACTTCCCAGAAAAGAGACAAGAATGGAGATTTTTCCTCGAATGAATTGGGTGGAGTATCACCCAAGAACAAATTTCCCTAACTTTCGTAACCGTATCGAGCTACCTCGTTCACTTTACTTACCCTAACTTCATGTCATCACTGCCTGGCATTGTGGTCGTCTAGTTTCCGTTTGAAATGTTAATGAAACACTGCGGTACTGTTGTTCGGAGTCTTAGCAACCTGAATTGAATGTCGTTTAGCAGCATGTTCCAAATTTCTCGTTTTTTAATGACCACATACAATTTGGTCAAATTCTGTCATTGCTTGCAATAAAGACTACGGTATTGATGCTGGCAGTCGCGTATGGCCACTGTTCACAAAAATGCTTGCTTCTAGGGAAGGGAATTAGGGGAACACGCCGCAAAATTGTGAAAACGGAGGAGTTAACCTAAGGTGAAGACGGTAACGACAACATTTTCTTACCAAAAAACACAGGCCAGGGTTGTAAATAAGGAAGTAAAAGTGGCCATAACCATCTTGGCCCCAGATTTACTCCTCAGTTTCTACATTTTTGCGACATATTTACAAGGCGCAAATCTGTGCAATTCCATTTTTCGTTCAGTAAGGGATTATAGACTGTGTGTGGTTGATATGTCGACCTATAGAGCTACGCAATTGGTTGGAACATGTTAACAAACAAGGCAAAATAAGTTGAATTAAAAGCTTTCACTAATTCCACTGTAATCTACAGAGCCAATTTAAAAGATAAGCAAGCATTCTGTATACGTTGTAGGCTATTCACTGTGAAGTCAGACAAGCCTTATAATAAGCTGTTTCTACAGCCAAGTCGACTGGATACGAACGCATGACTGAGTCTCGGTTGACTTTTATGAAAGATTTTTCCTGATGCGTTGTACGTCGTACAAATCGAAAATTAACGAACCTCAGATTATGCTTTGACATGGATATCCTAGAGTCGAACCATGAACCGAGATACCACGCAGTGGGCATTGAATGATTTTTGGCGTTACCCATGATGAAACTAGTATGTTGACCTTTTTCAACTGTTGTGGCGTGCCATTTATGATAAATTCAGTCTGGTCATCTTTCAACATCCACAAATGAATGTCCGATATGCAATTGGCCGTATTTTCAAGGCTGAAAGTTGGTTTGACTTACGACTTAAACTAAACGAAACTTTAACCTATATATAATCTGCATAACAGTGAACCTTAGACAAATGAGTTTTGACAACCTTAAAGAGCTTGCTCGCATACAACGTAAATAATAAGACAGGAACCCTGAGGCACACCACATTCCAAGACAAACTCATCAGAGAGCATCTCATTAATCAATACCTTTTAGATCTTCCAGACAAATATGACGTAAACCAAGAGAGAACTTTGCCTTGTATACCGCAAGAAAACTGTGGTCGTTGCAAGAGAGTGTCATGGTCAGCGGTATCAAAAGCGGCGCTTACGTCTTGGAGCAGAAGCAACGTAACGCGTTGGTTCTTTAAATTAAGAAGAATGTCATTGGTGACTCTCTGCAGTGCGGTCTCTAAGCTTTGATTCGGACGATATGGCGATTGCGTCCCAGAGAACAGATCGTTAGTGAACAGATAATGATGTAATTGCTTAGCAACTGCAAAGTATATAAGTTTTGAAACAAACGCAAAGATAATTAACAGGCCTGTTGTGTCTAAACCATCTTTATTTCACAGCGGCCGTACCAAAGTAGGCTCCCACGCACGGGGAGAGTACTTAGAATCCAGAGAAAGGTTAATTATTTGCAGTGATCGATCAGGACATTCTACGAGTTTGGTTGGGATAGGATTAGGATACAGATAACTTACGAATAAACAGAACTGTTTGTCTAATCATGCAGCGGCACATTCTTCAATTTGAAGCTACAGCAGACCAGACCACGTACCAGGTCATCACTTACAGAGGTTTTAAGTAATGCAAGATGCTAGACCACACCCGGGAAAGTGGTCGCAATAACGCCTTCTACGATTTCTCTTTCCCTCTTTTCTCCGCAGAGTACATGGACCCCGTTGAATCCCCTAAACTGTAACGGCTTGTACCGCAGTAGTCAAGAGACCAACTCTCGAGCCACTTCCGGTTGTTGGGAATTACTTAAATCTTTTCTGGCAAAAATTGATGGCTTCCTTGTAGTCACACATTTTGCCGACATGGGTCGCTCCAGCAATCCTCTACGCCTATGTATAGAGTTAACTCTACTGTTCTAAGGAAATACTTCATTTTTTTTTGGCTTATCCCAAGCATCATAACTAAATTCTTTCTCAAAGCATTCCATGAAGAATTGCGGTGTAGTTGACCTCTAAAAGGGAGTCCGTGTCTATGCACGTTACCCTATGGGAGGTTCTTGTTCTGAGACTTACCTTGAGAAGCTAATTTACCGCCCGATCTCCTTCGTGACGAATTCGTTACCAAGCAGCTGGAGACCTTTATTGTGGTCCTCGTAAATTGGGGAAAAGTTCTCTATGCTATGGACTGGCCCAATAACCTTCGACGTACACAGGGGAAAACCGTCGTTCGTCCTCCTTCTACTGCTGTACTTGGGTCTGTTTGCCCCAAATTCTTTCCACACTTAACCACGTTGCATAGCCGCGCTCTGGTGTCCTGTGAATCTCCCAGGAAGGTTTGTGTTTTCCTCGCCTTTGATGGTTCCTTCTCTGCTTGTGGCCAGGCCCTTAATGGTTACATTTCCTTCTCCTCTCGAGTACCTTCCAGCTGGTCGCCAACTTCAGTATACGATCGTCTGGTCAGGTAACCTCATAATGTGTTTCCTTTCCGTCAAGAAACACTGAAGTCTAACCGATCCGTCGCTTTCCCGAAACTTGAGGTTCAGCTCTGGATCGTTACCATTGCTTCGCTCAAGATGAGTGGCTTTGGTGCCTCTCTTTACATTTTGCACGATCAGAAAATCAACCTCTCTAAATTCTCCAGCTCCAAATAAAAAAAGCACCGAGCCTTTTAGTTGCATGTTTAGTAGATCCATAGCAGCCGCTGCTAGGCACTTTACCCCACACAGTACCGACAGCAAGCCGTGGGTCCAAACTTTTAATAAGCTCTGTCGTTGTCATTTTCTCATTCTTTTCATGACTTTGTTCTTGTAAACCGTTAGCCGTTAACAGATGTCGCTGGCCCACCAAGCTATCTCTACCATCATGCCACCTGATCTTGCAAGTTGCAATTCACCAGCTTGTGATTACCCCCACTGTAGAGTCTGCTAAAGTAGTATATGGTGGATCAAAATGAAACCGTATTTTTCGGTGGGCGTTATTGCTGTATTTTAGCATTTTTTGAGCTCATCCGAATAAAGTGTGGATGAGCTCAGAAAAGCTTAAGTACAGCAATAACGCTTACAGAAAAAGTGCAGTTCATTTTGATCGACAATATACTACTTAAGTTATAGCAGCATTGAAACGAATTTCCCTTGGCTGCCGATGGAAACGGTCGGTCTGCGCCCACAAAAACGGGTTTCTCTCTGGTGTCAGAGAGAAACAGAAAATACCCGGAGAAATGTCTCGATGTTTGATTGATGGCTTGCCGAGGCGGCCACAGCGGATAGATTTTTCGCATTGGCTGCAGCGCGAGTAACCAATTAGAGATTGGCAAAATGTATACATAAATATATACGATAGAAACCCACTCGTTCACATCAGCACTAGAACAAAACCTGCGCAAAGGGAGCCTGTGCCACGATCAAGAAGAACAAGCGCGCTGACTGCGAAAATATGACCCGGCCCTTTATCCAAAAACTACATCGTAGAAGCCTTACCAGCGAGGCGCAATATACCAGCCTGGTATGTGAATGTGGCCCAAGCGTATCAAATCATTGTTGTTAAGGGGCAAGGGCAACGAGTCATCAAATCCATCATCTTTCACACCTGAATCGTTCGCTTTACAGGCAAATAATGGATACAGCCGAAGGGTTTAAAAGAAATTATTCTTATTACAACAGGCTTAGAAATATCGAAACCGAGCAAAACGATTCCATGGCTGGAAGAAGGAATGAAAAGTCGGTGGTTTAACAATCGTGAAGAGGCAAAAGGCCGAATACAGAGACAAGAAAAAAGCAACGTTAGATAATGAAACATTCACTCGGCCCAACACAAAATATGCATCTTTAGTTATATGTCCATCCAATGCAAGGTAATTTTGGACAACCAACCGCTGCATGTTGGGAAGGACCAAGAAAGGTTTGTATGCATTGGATACTTTCAACGACAATCTGTGTGTTTTTCGTTGTTTGGCAGTGCAAAGAGGAGCACATAAAAAAGAATAATCTGAAAAAAACAAGATGCACCATATCCCGTTAAGTGCGAGGTATTTCAACCAAGCAATCATTGTTTACCATGTTTCGGATGAAGACGTGTTTGGGTTATGTGGTCAGTTTACCCCAGAAGAGAAAGAGGAAAAAGAAAAACAATAACCACCAATGACCATCGATCAGTTTTACGCCATACTGCAATGTGCACGAACAGGCAAACAAAGATAGCCTGTTTGGAAGAAAAGATTTGGGCGCCAGAATTCCTCTACGAAAGAGCATTTTATCCAAGGGGTAAATACGGAAGACCGCCTTTTATTGGTTAGAAAGCGAGGCAAAGCGGCATGGAATCCACATCCATTATCAACTGAGTGGGCAGGGAGGTGAACGGTTGATCGCCAGGCATCCAGTGGACGAGTATCATCACGAGAGTAAAACAGTATACTAGTTCCACGGTTGTCATTTCCACGGATGTTCACAATGTTACCTGGACAGAGATTATGTTTTGAGCAGGAAGAAAGGGAAGAATGTAACACGAGAAGATGTATATTAAGAATGTTGCAAGGAAACGAAACAATCGTCCAAGCGGAATACAAGTTGGTTGTGCGGTGGGAGCATGAGAGCATGAGAGACCATAACCAAGGCGTTGCAAGCTTCCATGCAAGCAGAATGAGACGTTTCCGCATGCAGTTGTGTTCAATTTTAAGGCTATCAAGACCCTGGGAAAAGGAGACGCCCACAGCAGATTTGGTTTTCGAGAGCGATACGTCCCTGTATCAGTGTCCCTTGCAGACACGTTCGACGGAGAGCCGAAGCATATTTCAGCAAAAGACCCGAATGAGCCGTTAAAAAAGTTCTGGGAAGCGTTGGTGAGGCGAGGAGAAATTTTGAGGGAGACGATAAGACGAAGATACGTGCCGGAAGATTACCAGCTATTGTCGAAAAGATAACAGGCGACAATACGAGATTGGTGCAATATAATACCAGTGCTAGGTTTCAACTCTAGTTAGTATGATTTGAACGTTATCAAAAAGTATTTCGTGACGCATATTGGGGCAGAAAAGTAGGTAACGGTGGCCAAGAGGCAAGGAAGAATCATGTTCTTGTCCCCATCGAATTTCAAGTTTTTGGGCACGAGTTATGAGAAGTGTGTGAAAACGTACGGAAGCAGCCAGACAAAATTCAGGCTGCCTTTTGAGTGGTTTGACCGCACAGCCAAACTGGATTATGAGAGTTTGCCGTCGTATCGTTGTTGGTTCTAAAAACTGAAGGACGAGTTTGTCTTGTCGTCGGAAGGGTATGAAGAATGCCAGCGAGTGTTCCGTGCGGGCAATAAGACGTTCGCTGATTGGTTAGAGTCGGATTGATGTCGGACCATTCCTGGAAGCGCTGGAAAATATGAGAGGGTCCTACTCAGGGCACGGTGTCGACATTTTCAAAGACGCGGTGTCACTTCCTGATGTGTCATCGCAATACCTCTTGAGTGGAACGATGCAGGGCTTAAACGCCCTAGAGTTGTATGCGCCGGGGATGGAGGCGTACGAGATGATGCTCAAAGGGGCAGTCGTGGGCGGGACAAGTCTGGATTTTATCAGAAAACATGGGGTGGGAAAAACGACGATAAGGTCGCACAAATATAAAAACGCTCGCACGTGCCAGCAGGTACTCGGTTACGACGCCAATTCGTTGTACCCAAGCACCACGCTGCAGGAAATGCCCTTCGCACCTGGAAAAGTGGTGCATTACGAGAATTCCGGCGAAGAGGTTGATAGGTCCGTAAGCCGCCTAAGAAGGAAAAGATGGTTCGGTTTTGCGGAGCTGGAAATCAGAGTGCTAAGGGAGCTGTGGAAAATATTGGAAAAAACTTCACCTTTGTTTTACAACAGTTTTATTCCAGAGGAGGCGGTTCTAGAGCACAAGAAAGAGTATTTGGAACGAACCAAGCGTACCGGGGTACAAAACTATAAGCTTTGTAGGCAGCTCGCAGGGAAGAAGACATTGCTTTACGCTCCGCTCATGGAATGGTATCTCGACCATAGCCTTGAGATCACAGCGGTGCATCGAACCATCGACTACAGGCGAGAGAAAATATTTACCTGGTTCGTGAACAGAGGGCAGGCGCAAAGGAGACGAAGACCCAGACAAAGCCCTCCTCGCAGAGGTTCAAGTTGTTGGGAAACAGCGCCTACGGAAAGCTAATCGAGGCGAAAGAAAGACAGACAAGGGTGATATACACAAGGGACCAACGTGTAGTGGACAAAGCAAAACGTCGTGTGGTTCGATGACACGGACGAGATTGGCGTCGTGTTCGAGACACTTTCGAAAGGAGAAAGTGACGACCAACAGGCCGTTCCGGGTGGAACTGGTGAAGCTGCGAATGTTACAGTTTTATTACTATTGTTTGGACTATTACATCGATAGGAGGGATTTCGAACTCATACAGATGGACACCGACAGTATGTATCTGGGGTTCTCGTGCAAAATGCTCGAAAAACCGGTCCGGCCGGAGCTTCTCGAAGAATTCGAAGTGACAAAAATATTTAGTTCGCATGGGATAAGTGAAGCAATCACACACCGGGCCTTTTCAAGATGGAGTTCCAAGGAGCCCGTAAGATCGTCCTCTGCAGTAATAGAGAACGAAGAGAAGAGCAAAGCCAAGCTGTCATCGAAGTGCGTGTCCAAGCGGCAGGACAAGCTCACATGGGACCGATATGAGGCAGCGTTAAACGGAGTGGAGGACAAAGCCAAAAACCGGGGTTCAGGACGGTGAAAGGCACGATGCCAACACATACCCAAAATAAGCTAGGGCTGAGTACGTATTGCAACAAACGGTGGGTGCTGCGGGACAGGATCCACACGAAGCCTATTGAAGAATAATGTTAGGCGGAATGGCAAGCAGCTCTTTACGCACAAACCCCCGTTTCGGGCCGTCTTGCAGATAATACACAATTGGCTCGTTGGGCTTCACGACATGGACTGCTGCCCCTCAGGCAGGTCGTTTCAACAGCACACTGGTGTCTGAACAGGCGTTCAGCAAGGGTGCGGTTATGTCTTTCCACGATTACCTGGTCCTAGTGAAACTCCGTGCGCCCTCGACGAATGTTTGTTTTGTGTTTTTCCAGTTATTTGTTGACAGCGCCCATGAATGTTCGGCCAAGGTCGGCCTAAAGCAACTGTGGCCAATTCAAAGGCTCGCGATCGTAAATTTTTTTAAAACGCTCGGGACTTCAGCAGTCTTTCCAGGTCAAGAGTTCGGCCTCTTTGAAACAGCTGTCAACATCGACCACTGTCAAATCGTTTTTGTATGTTTTTCGCCTCCGACCACGCCCCGGAGTGTCGAATTTGGGGTGAGGAATGTGTTTTGCAGCGGAGAGATTTATTTGCCAAATTACTTGCTTGATTAGCCACTTTTTCGCAGCATCATCGGAGACTTTGCCGCGACGGCGGGCTTTTTGATGCCAATATCCTTGAGGGCTATAGTTGGTTTTCGAACTCTTGGCCTCTTGGCCTCTTTTAAAAATAATGGAAAGCCTCTTGGACATGCTGCGGCCGGAAATGCAAGAAGTTATGAATGAGATGCTAATTTTTTAATCAAAAACATATGCAATGGCTTAACCGTATGGATGATGAATTTTGGTTAAAAGAAATTATATAAAAAGACGAAAAGCTGCGTATCCAAGCGCAAGAGCACCTATGCCGACAAAAATTATCAAACCTTATTTTTGCAGAGCACTGGGTTGATAGAACTCAAAGAACGTGGGTTTATTGGGAATGGTGAGTTGCGCCTGTTGGTGGGCCTGGTTGTACAGTTTGAAGGCCTAGTCGGTGTTCGCATAATTCTGCTTGGTCTGCTCTTTGATTTCGTGCTGCGTTTCAATCCAGTCAAGGAGTTTCCTTCTTTCTCTTTCGTATTTGGCGTAGGCGGCTCAGTAAGCCTCGAAAGCTTTGTCATTTCTTTTCTTATTCAAGGGAGGCCTCTGGATCATAGCCAGAAAGAAAACGGGCAAGATAATTACGGCCAACGAAAGCGAAAGTGTTAATCACAGCACCACCAGCCAGAATTGCAACAAGTGCCATGCTATATACAATACCCTCATTTGGGAAGATTTTTTAGATCCTCCAGGTACTGTGTTAGAGCTATGGCTGCAGCCATCAGGACGGTGAACTTCACGTAGGTCATCGCATTGCTGCTTGGGTCTGAAGTGAAGTTTTCTTTGACTGCTTTTTTCGCAATCCAGCCGATGCTGGCGGCCAGACCGGTTAGCGTTGCCGCCTCGAGAAAAGTTTTAACAAGCTTGTTTTCGGACATGGTTGTATATATTGCATTGAAATTTCAATCCATACAGCGGAGGTTGTGGTGAGGCTTTGGCTCGGGCGCCGGGTTTCGCCGGAGGGAGGCCATAGTTGCCTCTCGTTGATAAAAAAAATCCCCACAGTGGAGACAGCCAGGCCTCCTATGCCAAGAATCAAATAGATGTGGCCTCTGCCTCCTGTGTGGTGGAGGGCTCTCCTTCCTCTTTTACCTCTGCAGAGACTTCTGGTGTTTAATGGTTCTTTTTTACCTCACATGCCAGGCGGTTTCGTTCGACTGCCTTTTTAACAACTCGCCCAGGATGTTTTCTTGTAGGAAGTTTTGATAAAATCTGCTTTGGAACTTGAGCAGATACATCAGTTTTCGTTTCCATGTTGTATATAATAAATGAGAAATCTGTTTGAAGTTCTTTGACAGGCTCTTTTGCAGGTTCCTTCTAAGGTTCTTGTCCTGGTACTTTGCAAAGTTCTTGTCCCGGTTCTTGGCAGGTTCCTTTTTCAGGTTCTTTCTCAAAAACAATGTGTTTGGCTGCGATTAAAGCTGCGTTGGCAAGCGTAAACAAGCGGCCACAGCGCAATACCATATTACCAGCTGCAGACGAGAACTCAGAGTTCATTATTAAATCTTCTTACAGGTCCTTTTGCAAAGCTTTTACGTCATCTACGTTGACGAATATACCAATAGTTTTGCTGAAGACCCTCAAGAAGTTCTTTATCAAACTCTCGTTTGTCTTACCGTAGGCTTCACATCGTCTGTAAAATTTCTCCACATCTTTGCCCGAGAGGGGTTTCATTTGGTCATGTGGCAGCTGGGTGCCGAGTGCCTCCTTGGATTTGCCCGTGGAAACAAGCATAATCAGCTTTTCGCGTTGTTCTGAAACGTTGTTGGCGGGGAGTGAAACAGGAAAATCTGAGGGTTTCGAGGTGTCTGCTGGTGACTTCAGCATTTGCATGACTTCGTTCAGCGCTTGTTCTCCCGCAGCAGCCATGGTCTATGTACAAAGTTTTGAATCTTGAAGTTTGATACTGTAGGAACAGGGCAGGACAAAGACCAGATAAGAAAATTTTGTTTTTTTTTTTCAGCTGATTCATCTGAGCTGTTCCTTGTACTCTTCAGATGAAAGCCCGCCAGCGTAATCTTCAAAGATGGCTTCCGTGGTTTTGGTCGACGGAGAGTAAAACAGAACAATGGCGGCCACGTCTTCACGAAAGGGTTTTGCATCGTTGGTGATCTGCTGCATCAGAACCCCAACGCTTATGCCTGCATGGCGTCCTTCTAGGCAGCACAATTGTCCAAAACAATAAGCGTGTTTGCTCCCTGCAAAAAGAACTGCTCAGCTTACGCCAGAGTTCGACCTCTTCTTTCGGGCAGTCAACGACGGAAATGCTCGAATCGTGATCCACAAACCGTTCGTAGGTTTTGGTGTGGACAAAGGTTGGACATAGCAAAATCATGTCGTCAAACTTGCCTGGAAAAGTGACCCGCAGTTGGTTCACAAAATATTGGGTTTTACCGGAGTTTGTAGGGCCCACGATCAGTCCGTTAAAAGGTATGTTGTTTCGATTCACTTATATTTACTACTGCACAGAATGGAACTGTCTGTCCATAATTTTCAGTTTAGGATCGCTGATTGTGAAAACGTGGCATTTTAAATTTCCCGAGCCAGAGGTCTTTCTTTCGATCTCAAGGAACACACTGTCTTTGGTGTTCACAAGACGGATGCCGCTGCCGCGCATTGTGGTGTCCGTCATGGAGCGCAGGTCGATTGGCAGCTTAAACTTGTTATCTGTGTAGAACTTTGTGTGGTCCATGTTGCTGGTTCCCTTTTCGAGAGAAAAGGACCGGCTGATTTCTTTCCACATGTCATGGCCCTCAAATCCGTTATTATAAACATTGTTCGGCGAGCCTTTCATTATGACGCTCACTTTGATGTCGAGGTTAACGCATTTTTCCGAATATCGGGCACCTGCTGCGTAGGGCTCAACGAAGAGCATAAGAATTCCATTGAGCGATCGGCGTTGAGAATTGACTCGAATATTTAATGTGCTGTCGGTTTTCTTTGCGAAGGTGACCACCTCTTCGCGCAAAACGTAATCATAAGCGAATGCCTTTCCGCTGGAGTACACGCTGGTTGCCTCGTCGGCCAATGTCTTACTGCAGATGGTCTCATACTGCAGCTGAATGTTTGTCAGCTTGTACACCAGCTTTGATGCGTCTGAGCCTTTTACAACCCGCGAGGGGGAGCAAGCGTCAGCTCGAAAACAAGGTTGGTGAAAAAGGCCTGTGGGTAAAAATCCCCGTGATCGGCCAGAAAATTGTGGTCCAGCCAGATGCTGTATTTGTTGCTAAAAACAGCGTTCAGAACCTTTGCAGCCTCCACATCCGTTTTGTCTTTGTTACTAGCGTACTAGCGAATCTTACAAAGTTTTTAGCGTTGGATTCCCTGCAGAAACATATTATTGCGGTCAATAACTGGAAGGAAAAGATCCTCGTAAATTTTGTAAATATCGTAGCCAATTGTATTCTGGACAGTGGTGCGCGCGTATTTACAGTGAACTTGTCAACCAGCGTCCTCGAGACGTTCTGGACAAGATTGATATTGAAAAGAATCGCCAAGGAACCCGGGACAATGTCATCAGTTTTATCCTGCTTGGGCTAAGCAAGGCTAAGCCTTCATACGCCGCGGGTTTTTCTTAATGCGTTGGTCGAAGATTTTTTGTATCGCAACTCTGTCGTCCATTATATATATAAAAAATGGTAGAGGGTGGTTTTGTGCCCCGACCTTGACTGGCACCTCAACCACGATGATGATGATGACGATGACGAGCAATAAGTTAACCGCACCGACCCTTTCAAACGGGCTCTGCATCCACACCTTATCATGCAGGAGAACAAATTGAAGTGCACATTCATCCTGAAGAACAGAGCGGGCTGCCGAAACCTCTTTAGATGAAAGCACACCTCTGGTTGGACGTTTTATTCATAAAGAAGACAAACCAGCAATTCTTGATAGAGTAAGAGAGATTATCACAAGAAGATTTCCAAAAGTCAACTTCGCGAAACTTGGCCAAATCGGGTTTAGCAAAAAAGGAGATGACGCTAAAATAGTTTCATTTGGGCCAAAGGGAGGCGAGTCCGACATTTTCAAGAAAAACGATTCGGGCCTGCTTAAATCACTCACAGATAGATGCAAAAATACTCTTGGCCTAAAAGCCGAAGATATCACTGCAGAGGACAATAAATCGATCAGAGAAGAAAAACAACTAAGGGAGAAGGAAAGAATTGCCGCCGATCACCAACGAGCCAATGATGAGGTGCAAAATCTGAGAAACAAAATCGAACAAACCCGAGCCAAGATTGATACTTTTGACGAAGACCATGGAAGTGAAAGCGAATTGCAACGACTGAAACTATTGAAAAAATAATCTTCAAGAGGATTTTGAACGGGCTAAAACAGAGCTTTATGACATACAAAAGCGATACACTCAGAAAGAGAAACAAAAAAAGTCGATAAGCTGACACGAAGAATTCCTTTCGAGAAAAAGGAAAGAAACACACTCGAAGAAAGATTCAGCAACACAAAACCACTCGACGACCTTAGGGGCCAAGAATCCGAGCTTGAACGCCAAAACGAGGATGATGAAGCAGTAATCAATGAAGAAAACGCTTTGTCTTCTGGAAAAGAAGCCGCCGAAGCCAGAGTGGCTGAACGTAAATTGGAGCTCTCACAGCTCAGAACAGAGATTGAGGAGAGAGAAAAGGCATGCCGCTTTTCGAAAAAATCAAAGGAAATCTTCAAAAAATATGGGTTCACTGTCGCTGCTATTGTCCTTGCCGCCTGGACTGTCATTGGCGCTGTTATAAGGGCGACAACAACCTCCCTGAAACCACTGGGCAAAGGCATAGGAAAAGCTCTGAAAGATGTTAGCAAAAAAACAGCCTCCCTTTGCCCGGCCTCATCTGCTCGATCGTGAGTTTCATTTTCAAAGCGGCGGGACAGGCCATCTCATTTTTGGCGGAGCACACCTGGCTTATATTTTTTGCTGTGGTCGCTTTTTTTTATGGAAAGTTTCTNAACGGGCTAAAACAGAGCTTTATGACATACAAAAGCGATACACTCAGAAAGAGAAACAAAAAAAGTCGATAAGCTGACACGAAGAATTCCTTTCGAGAAAAAGGAAAGAAACACACTCGAAGAAAGATTCAGCAACACAAAACCACTCGACGACCTTAGGGGCCAAGAATCCGAGCTTGAACGCCAAAACGAGGATGATGAAGCAGTAATCAATGAAGAAAACGCTTTGTCTTCTGGAAAAGAAGCCGCCGAAGCCAGAGTGGCTGAACGTAAATTGGAGCTCTCACAGCTCAGAACAGAGATTGAGGAGAGAGAAAAGGCATGCCGCTTTTCGAAAAAATCAAAGGAAATCTTCAAAAAATATGGGTTCACTGTCGCTGCTATTGTCCTTGCCGCCTGGACTGTCATTGGCGCTGTTATAAGGGCGATAACAACCTCCCTGAAACCACTGGGCAAAGGCATAGGAAAAGCTCTGAAAGATGTTAGCAAAAAAACAGCCTCCCTTTGCCCGGCCTCATCTGCTCGATCGTGAGTTTCATTTTCAAAGCGGCGGGACAGGCCATCTCATTTTTGGCGGAGCACACCTGGCTTATATTTTTTGCTGTGGTCGCTTTTTTTTATGGAAAGTTTCTCAAGGACAACCGTTAACGCTTCCAAATAAATTAAACGCACCTGTCAAAAGAACTGCTCCACAACGAGCAGCACCTTGTTTATGTCGTGACTTGTGGTCGCTGGCGCGGGTATGGTGGAGGGGGTCGGGTTGGAAGGAGGCTCTCCCAGACCTTGCGCCTTCATTGCTGCCTTGTGGATTTGATTTGAAGGATGGGCTGACTGGTGGGTTAAAACTAAAGACCCGCTGTCCATTAGGCGCAGACCCACTGTTGTGTCTCTTTGTTTACGTCATTGGTTAACCCGAGCTTCATGTTCGGTGTTGCCTGCTTGAGCTTGTTGTTGTAGACATCTGTTCTCTCTGTGTTGATCACCTTGCGAAAGGGCATCAACCACGCTCTGGGCGCCGCTGCCAAATCAAGGCGCAACTTTCCTTCGTCTATAGCCAGCTGATACCTTCGCACACTCTTGGACAGCTCTGGCTGCCTTGCGGAGTCCTCCAACGACGCGAGAAACTCGCTCTGTGCTTCTTTTGCCCGGCCTCCATTACGAAGAATGCTGCTTTGCACGTTAACCTGTGCCCCTAGAGCACAGTATACCGGAGCCTCAATTGACTGATTCAAACGTGACAGCCCTGCCTGCGTGCGTCCGTTCGCCTTGTTGGGCACAAACCAATCGAACTGCCAATCAGCACCCTGCTCGTTTCTCATGAAGCCGCTTGCGTCCCCCAAACGCTAAGTCGAAGGGTTTGACAACGTGACTGGCGGATAGTTCCACTTCTTGAACGGCCAAGAACTTCCATCATCGCAAATAATATAAACGTAAGGCCGTGATTCTAGCCGAGAGTGAAACGAAAGTCCGTTGCTGGCTCTACTTCGAACTCGGTGCCAATTCTCTTGTAGAGGGGATGTCATATTTGCTGTTTCTCTGGCTGAACTTGGGTCCCCGGGAAAAGCGCTCTCGCTTTGGATGCCACCCTTCTGCGAAGAATTCTTTTTGTCGTGAAATAAACGCGGAACTGGAAAAAGGCTCTTAGCTGAGACCTCAGCTGCATTCCACTGTCCAACAAAATGTCCCGTGAAATACCACAGCCCGTGGTGGCACACCATAACGCAAAATTCAACTAGTCTTGCCAATTTTTCATGTTTGGCCCGCCCAGCCACGCCTTTGACTCTTCTCCTATTGTGTGCTTTATTTTGGTGTTTTTGAAAATCTCTCTGAATTTTGTGTTAAAATACTCTGTCGGCGTGAGATATATTTTTTGCTCCTGACGAAACAACGCGCCAACGCTTGCAACACTATCTTTTCTCCAACCTCGTCAGGATTTTGCAGCCATCCCGGTCCGGCCATGAATTCGACTTTTCCTGTTGCGTTATTTTTTTCGTATTTCGTCAAATTCCACTTCTGTTGCGAACTGACTTATGTCAGCTTTTGGGAAGCGTTTTTTTAACTCCGAAAGAGCCTTTTTTGGCTGCGAGGGCAGGTTTTTTAGCTTGTGGTGTCCTCAGCCACTTTACAAAATCTATTTATATACCTATTTCAATAAAGGTTGCTTTGGGAATCGTGCTTTGGTCTTTGAAAGCAATTGTTTGGTGGTCACTCAAGCAAAGGATTGCATTGTATTGTGTTTCAATGACCAAATCCAAAAGCAACCTTTATTGAAATAGGTGTATATTATATCCATAGGATGGTTGTGTTAACGATCTTTGCGCCTTCCAACGACCACACCGAACACCTGATAGAGAAACCAACCTATATCAGGCTTCTTTCCTGCTCTCTTTACAATTCTTCGTATAATCTGAAAACCCGACAGGGACAGCTGCATTGACTGAAACTGGAGCCGGCAAAGAACCAAAATCTGGAAAATTGCAATCAGGACATTTCACTTTACATTCGTTTGGAAAAACAACGTCGTGTTCGAAAAAAAGTTGGAAACCAGAGTAAATGCTGTGAAAAAAATCTTAAAGAATCTGATGTGCGGCTCCATACAAATTTGCAAAAATTTCGTGGAGTCGGCCGAAATTTGGGACAAGAACATTCATAAAACGCTTGAGTTCTTCAGCAACTTATTTCATTTATTGCGATTTAATGAAAAAAAGACTGAAAATCTTTGGAAAAGGAAACTTTCAAAGTTCTCAATTCGTGGACACGCTTATGAAAAACTTGACCACATTGCTCCCCTACAACATTTGTTTCTTGACGTTGATCTTGGGGATAAACATTTGCATAGTTTGACAATTTCTGTCAGAGATGGGAATGGGGACTTGTTTCATTTCAACGGTTTCCCTTTGGAATTTGAATTGAAAACTAATTGACCATATATACAATNAAGCAACCTTTATTGAAATAGGTGTATATTATATCCATAGGATGGTTGTGTTAACGATCTTTGCGCCTTCCAACGACCACACCGAACACCTGATAGAGAAACCAACCTATATCAGGCTTCTTTCCTGCTCTCTTTACAATTCTTCGTATAATCTGAAAACCCGACAGGGACAGCTGCATTGACTGAAACTGGAGCCGGCAAAGAACCAAAATCTGGAAAATTGCAATCAGGACATTTCACTTTACATTCGTTTGGAAAAACAACGTCGTGTTCGAAAAAAAGTTGGAAACCAGAGTAAATGCTGTGAAAAAAATCTTAAAGAATCTGATGTGCGGCTCCATACAAATTTGCAAAAATTTCGTGGAGTCGGCCGAAATTTGGGACAAGAACATTCATAAAACGCTTGAGTTCTTCAGCAACTTATTTCATTTATTGCGATTTAATGAAAAAAAGACTGAAAATCTTTGGAAAAGGAAACTTTCAAAGTTCTCAATTCGTGGACACGCTTATGAAAAACTTGACCACATTGCTCCCCTACAACATTTGTTTCTTGACGTTGATCTTGGGGATAAACATTTGCATAGTTTGACAATTTCTGTCAGAGATGGGAATGGGGACTTGTTTCATTTCAACGGTTTCCCTTTGGAATTTGAATTGAAAACTAATTGACCATATATACAATTTCTTGAAATTCAGACGCAAATTCCCGGCGAAATCGAAACTACAGAAGAGTCAAAATTAAAAAAAAAAGCTCCAATTGCCATGCATTATCTAGCCGTCGGTTTGGGCTCTTGCTAGGCCGCTCTTTCGGTCTCTGGCATTGCCTTGAGCCTTACGGATCCTGGAATCATTGCTGACACACCCCTTGACGCGGTGGGTGCTTTTTGCGAGGCTGACAAGTCTTTGCAAAAAACTCAGCCTAAAAATAACAAAGACAAAAATTCAGTCATTGAAGGGAGAGTACAAATTTCGCCGGTGAAGAGCCTTTCCTCTCTTCGAGCACCTTGTGTTTTTCTAGCCGTTTCGTCAAGTCTTTGCTCGAACGTTTTTTTTTTTTTTGCGCTCCTTGATTAATCCTGGATTGTACAGGGATTAAAATATATAAAAGACAACGGCAAAATCGGTAAAGACTGGATCGTAGAGTAAGATGTCCTCAGCGAGACCCATTGTGAATGCATACATTTTGCCACTCTCTAATTGGCTGCACGCGTCGCAGTCAAAGCGAAAAATCTGTTCGCTGTGGCCGCATGGGCAAGACATCAATCAACCATAGACGTTTCTCGGGATGTTTTGTGTGACGTTTCTCTCAGACACCAGGGTGAGCCCGTTTCTGTGGGCGCAGAACGGCCGTTTCCATCGGTGGCCAGCGAAAAATTATTTTCAACGCTGTTATAACTCAAGTAGTATATGGTCGATCAAAATGAACTCCACTTTCTCTGTTACAGTTATTGCTGTATTTTAGCTTTTTTGAGCTCATCTCAACAAAGTGAGCAGAGAACCTGACTGTGAGCCCTATTTTTATCAAAGAAGTGCTTACAGACTTGCATCAATTGCTACAATTCACAAATAGTCCAGCCTAGTTTCAAATTCAGCTTGTGAATCTCTCAAAGATATTGACAAGCATCAAAGACGTAAAGCGTTAGCTGAACGTCGTCACTATTTCTTGAGACAAATTCCCCTTCGTCAGACGTGATGATTCTTGGTGTGGACAAAGGTTGGACATATCAAAATCATGTCGTCAAACTTGCCTGGAAAAGTGCCCCGCAGTTGATTCACAAAATATTGGGTTTTACAGTCTGTCCATAATTTTCAGTTTAGGATCGCTGATTGTGAAAACGTGGCATTTTAAATTTCCCGAGCCAGAGGTCTTTCTTTCGATCTCAAGGAACACACTGTCTTTGGTGTTCACAAGACGGATGCCGCTGTCGCGCATTGTGGTGTCCGTCATGGAGCGCAGGTCGATTGGCAGCTTAAACTTGTTATCTGTGTAGAACTTTGTGTGGTCCATGTTGCTGGTTCCCTTTTCGAGAGAAAAGAACCGGCTGATTTCTTTTCACATGTCATGGCCCTCAAATCCGTTATTATAAACATTGTTCGGCGAGCCTTTCATTATGACGCTCACTTTGATGTGCTCACGGATGTATTTGACTCTCACAAAGGTAACGAAGTAAACGAAGATTCTGAAGGTGATCTGTACTTGCCGCCATCTTGTGGTGTAAAGCATATCATTCTAGGTCATACCTGTCAATTTGGCCGCGACAGGACGGACATTTCTTTTGGCAATTTCGCGTGTTACTTACTTTTGCAAGACGTCAGACGAATTTTCACTTCGGATACACATTTTAAACATACTGAAGAGAGAAAACGTTTTACTGGTCATACCCGGTTCTGACGACATAGACGATAATAACCATGTTTTGAGATGCCACATTAATGGTGGAGACATGGAGACAACATGTTGCTGATGGCGAAGTCGACTGTATACTCATTGTTTTGCTCTCGCTTGAAAGATTTAATGGCAGTTTATTAGTCTGATCACTTTCGAAGAAAAATAATTCCTTAAACTGGACGGTGGGTTGGATGTGTGAACCTACAAGCCAAACAATGACGACAATCGTTATCTCCTCAGATATATCGCTTGGAGCCTTTCTCACTTAACATAATAGAAAGGTTGGTGGTTTGAGTTTTTCTCGCCTAAACAAATGTAGCTGTAAACTTGGTGCACTGTATTGAAACATGGCAAAAAAATGATGATAATGATTATGAAAGTCCTGCTGAATATGCTGTGGGGTAAATTTACATTATCAGGTAGCTGGATGCTCTTTGTCAAAGAGCAACAACAGTTGATGTCATTGCCATCATATATGTTCTTTGGTTATTTTAGGTACACAAGTATTGCGTTTTGCATTTGAATAATGTACCTTAGCCCAAATCAAACTTCAACATATAACCAGTCAGGCTAAATGATGTTAAACTATGGAATGGTCTGCCTAATGATAACACGGCAAACAAAATCTAAACCTCCTCCAATGGGTTCAAAAAAGTGATCCCCAATTTGTAAATTTTGCAACAGGACCGAAAACTGTAAGTAATATAAAACTGTAAATAATTCCGAGTTATGGGAAAAGTTAGCATAGGTTTTAGTCTGTTTCGTTCCCACTATTCACTCATTGAGTTATACCATTCACGACCAAATCAGCTACGCTATAAAAATATCGTATTTAAATTAGATGTTAACATCATTACTGTTATTTTTGCTATTATTAGTTTTATTATTATCATTATTATTATCATAATCATTATTACTAAGCACAACAACGATCGAAGGACACGTTCCAACGCTGTGCTTTGCAAAAGTTTCACGTGATAGATAGTCAACACAGGCGTGATTTGATGATTACGAGTGATAGGTCCATATTCACATACTCATATTCACTCTAAAACTCGCAAGGGAGGAATTAAAAAAAAATTTATTAGCTAAATGGTAAAAATGATATGGATGTGAAATGAATCTTTTCAAAACGATAACTACAAGGAAAATGATATTTTTGAAATGACAGTACAAAAATCCCCTTAATAAAAAAAAGCTGGGGGGTAATTTTTTTTACTAACAAACAGAACAAACACATTTAACAAGATTTCCAAAACACAGACAAGTCTGAATACATATGTGTTGTAGTTAGTTTTTATCTCGGTAAGTTTTGTGTTTCTTTCGTTTTTGGGTATGGTAATGTATGCTAATGAAGTTGAACGAAAGGAAAAATAAAAATTACCTGAAATAATAAAAATAACTACAACACATATATATCAAGATTGTAGAGAAGACAAAATATTGTACGTGTGGTTAAGGCTGTTTGCAAATGGCCTTCAACGCCTGCAAGGCACACACAAGAGAACAAAATTTTAAATCCTAATGCGGAAACAACGTCCCAATGTGAAAAAATGCTGTTTTCAACACGGTTGCTCCTGACATTAGTTTTCAAAATTCCTTTATCTTTTCCTGACAAAAACACAATCTTGATACAAAATGTAAGGTACAGAGGTACACCGCTGCCTCCCCCTTAAGCCATTCTTTCCACTTTTCATCCTTTTTTCTCCTGCGAAATTTTAGAGTTTACCATCTCAAAAGCAAGGGTTCGCGTTGTGATGTTAATTTTCCCAGAGGTTTTAATTCGTTTTGACTTTTCTCCGATGTAGAATTCATTTTTCCCAGGGCATTTTATCAACTTTGACAACCACGTTTTAACTTTACGAAATTCGGTTCTTTCCTGTTTTCTCGTCCTTTGATCTTCCTTGTGATTCTAAACGGTAAGATATACCATTCCTTACCTTTTGTTACCCTGAGAAAGAGACTTGAATTTGTTTTAGTGTTTTTCGCGCCAACAGACAAATTTCCTTTCCAATCAGGCACCGTTTTCAAGCTGAAAATGTGTTATGTATACACCACAATGAGCACTTAAAATGGCCTTGAACTTAACTATAACAAACTTTACCATTATCGAATCGCCGGATGAGTTTATAAATCCAATATGAAATGTATTATTAACTACGTATATACAATTAAAACTAAAATTACGCAGAAACTGTTTAATGTCGTCTTGGCAACGACCCCAGATGCCACGTAAACTACTTTAAAATCCCAATGTTCAGTTGCTCGAAGAATGGTTAGCACTAATCCAGGGTTTAACACTTAAGCCACGACTTAGTTTACTCTTACGTGAATGTTGTATAATATCATTTTCGGTTCACGCAATTGTCTCGTGAAGTAACGCCGTCACTTACATACAGCTCGAGAAAGGTTGTCGGAAAAAATATGCACGCGACAATCCCGAAAGGCAACATGGGATATGATCAATACACTGTTCCTAACCCTGCTGTCGAACCTATATTTGTTGCTTTCCGTTAAAACTGGAAAACTACGTCTATGGCCTACCGTGTCATTCTTTCAAATTTCTTTGAAAAACAGTGAACTCAAAACCACCCAAAACGCCTTTCAGGATTGTCGCGTGAACTTTTTCTGGCAACCTTTCTCGAAATAGCTGTATTCTTAAACGAGAAATGTGTTCAACACTTGCCTTAACCCCAGGTTAAAATTAACCGTCTTTCGAGCAACTTGAGCCACAACTATAAGGACATAAAAGAGGATGGTTCACTGAATGGCCCAACTACTCCACCATGAGACAGTGCGCGAACACGGAACCGGAACATTTTTCCAGGTGCTAAGTTTTTAAGTGTACAACCCATAGGAAGTCGAAGAGCTTTGACTTTCGAAATTTTACGCCACTGCCCACCTCGGCTCCATGAATATAACTCAAAGTACTCTATCTCAGAAATTTTGTCATTGTCAGGTAGGTCCCACATTATCATAAGGTCGTTATCCACTGAACGTACAGCAATCCTAGGTATTGGTAAAGTTGAACCATCAATTAAATGCTGTTGTGAAGAATCAGATTTGACCGCATTTTCTTTTTCATTCTGATCATGGTTTTTGTTAGAAGAGACTAGTATTCCTGTGATGTCAATGCCATTTACAAGACTCTGTTTTGGCTCCTGTCTACTTTCCAAAGGTTGGTTTTTCATTTCATTGGGAAGTTTCTCTACAAGTAGAGAATTTACTTCTTTTATAGCTGAAGAGTCATGGCACCTATAATAAAAATGGTCTTGTTTGCTAATTCCTTTGGTTATCCCACTAAATTGTTGCTCATTTAAACCGTCACTGTTGTCTTCAGTCAAGCATTTACTAGAAGAAAGCACGGTGCTCTCTTCCATGCCGCTGTTTCCTTCAGTCGTTGTAAGTAATCCATTGTTAAGGGCCACATTATCCTCAGCAACAGAATCAATATTGGCTGCATTTTCAATAGGCTCTTGTGTCTTCTGAGAGTCTGCATTACTACTGTGCATGACACTAGTCTCCACTTCTTCCTCGTGACTGCATCCAGGCTTCCAGGTCTCTTCCCGTCTTGCTACACTCTGAGAGGAACTGAGCTCATGTGTTGCATCCTTCTCTATCTCTTCAACAGCGTTGCTCGGGACTAAATTATCCTCCGCAACAGCATCAACATTTCTTGCATTTTGAGTAGTCTCTTGTGCCTTCTCAGTACCGACACCTCCACTATGCTTGACACAAGTTTCCACTTCTTCATCGGGACCGCATCCAGACTGAGTGGATCTGAGTTCAGGTATTGAATCTATCTCCATCTCTTCAACAGTGTTGCTCGGTGCAAAATTATTCTTTCCAACAGGATCAACATTGCCTGAACTTTGAATAGTCTCTTGTGTATTGACTCTTCTTGTGTGTTTGGCACCAGTTTCCATTTCCTCTTCCTGACTGCATCTAATGTTCAAAGAATCTTGCATTCTCACTACATTCTGAGGGGAACTGAGGTCAGGTATTACATCTGTCTCCATCTCTTCACCAGCTTTGTCTTCGCTTTCTACAGAATCCTTGGCAGCTACCAAACCAGGTGCAAGTTGAGAATCATTCTCTGCACAAGCGTCGACACAACCCACAGCCAGGTGTGCATCACTTATACCTTGATTAGCTCCTGCATTCTCTTCTGCACCTTCACCCACCTTGTGTCTAGATTCTTCAGAATGTTTTTCTTCCACGCTATTGCATACAAAGCTACAGTAATTTTGTCCATGAGGGTCAACGCTATTCACCACGTGATTTTCGTCAGCTGTTCCTCCCACACTCCGAACAACTTCCATATCTTTATCTGCAAAGGTGACATGAAACTCCTGTCCTGTCTCTGATGTAGGCCTCCTTTCTTCATAAATTTCACCTTCGGCTACTTTAACCTTGTCAGTGTCAGTATTTCCCCCTTGCGTTTCTGCTACAGGCAACTCAATTTCTGCATCTATTAACCTATTTTCGTCGACAGTGCCTTCCTCTCCAGTCGTCAGAAGTTCAGGATCTTCCTCTTGGTTCCTCACAATTTGTTGTATCTGTGTACTTTGAGGACCAGGACTGGTGGTGTAGTCTGTCTCTCCTATTTCTGTTTGGTCGGGATTATCATTGATGACTTTGTCTGCACTCTCTATTCTCTGCACAGAAGGATTACTGTCTTGCTCTTCACCTAGCGATTTTCTTTGAGTGGTCTCACTTTCATCACAGTAATGTTGAGAAATATGTGATCGACGCTTTGCTGTGGGTGATGGTGAAACAGGTATGATCGGAGACATGAGATTGACGTATAGGTCGTCTTTCATCTTCTCACTATCGTTCCTTGTTTTAACAGGGGATGATGGAACAACAAATACGTTATCAGAATCACTGTCTTTCCTGTGGCTAACAAATCCATGGGGTATAACAGGAGACATAAGTTGTATGTAAATATCGTCTTTGTCTTTCTCAACGTCACTCTTTCTATTAGGAAGAGCTGATGGAGCAATAAACACACTATCGGAATTACTACTTCTCTGTCCTTCGACGCCCGCACCAGAAATTGGCACTACCTCATTAACTTCTTCAGAGGCCAAAGAAGCCCCAGTTTCCTTCCCCCTCTCATCGGCCAAAGATGTTATTTCCGAAATTGGTTGCCTCTCATCGGAGGAAGTAACTCGACAATCAAGCTCCTCTTTATTGGTTTCCTTATTGTCATCTAGAGAATCTACCTCCACTTTATCAGCTTTTGACTTCCCCGAACAAACACCTTCACTTTCACAACCTGGTTGGTTCTCATTTTTGCCACTGGTGCCTGTTTCTGACGGCTGTGATTCCACTGGACGAATACCATCGAATAAGTCCGAAACAGAACTAGAACTAGTTTTGGGACTGGCATGATGTTTTGATAAAGTGCTGTTTTGATGAGCCAATAATCGCTGTACAGTATTTTCTAGGGCTCCACTAGGTGTTTTGGCAGGGTTCCTGTGACGATCTTTCTTACTTAACACAGGATTGTTTTCTTGTCTGGCTTTCCTGCTTTCTGGTGCTACGTCACCTTCGATGTGCAAACCAGCCGAAGCACCAGAAGTTCTTGTATGTGCCTTATCCAACTTATGTCCCTGGCTGATGAGGGGATCTTCTGACCTAACACTTGACAACTCTTCCGCGGAGGTAACGTAATCAGCTGTCAGTTGAGTAGCAACATCAGCGGGTACAGCGACTGTTACATTTGCTTTCTCAGTATTTTTCGCCTTTTGTTTTTTAGCAGTGACGTCGTCCAGGCTTTGTTGCAATTCACTATATACACGTCGGATCTCATCAAAGAGGCTTTGAGACTGTACGCTTGGTTGCACTCTCAAGTCATTTTCAGGTACCTGTGTATTCCTTTCTGCAGTTGCCTGGGTTAACCGTCTTACTGTAAAATTGTACGTGTTTGATGATTGAGCTTGAACTGATTGTTGCACTGGAAGCAATTGTGCAGCATGTTGGGTAGTCACTGTGGTCTGATTGACAGGGACACTCAAGTTTCTTGCTTGACTTTGAGGCACTGGAACAGGATTTCTTGTGTTATGTAACAGCGGTGCACTTACTGTCCTAGCCTGAGAAATAGGCCGTTGAACCGGCTGAATCATTGATGCGTTCAGATTTACTGATTGACAGGTTTGAGGTCTAGCTGAGTCTGCTTGAGTAAACATAGGTGTTTGTAATCCCAAAGGCTGCGAAACTGACTGTTGCATGGTTATCCCATGGACTGCCGATTGGTTTGATGACGCGTTTCCATGCTGATAATGAGGTATAGGACGTATGGTGTTTCTGAGAATCCGACCCTCTGAAATTCCTTGATTTTGAGGTTGAGAAAATAGCCTGGAAGAAAGTTGTTGAGAATTGCCATGATGTAAGGCTATTGCGTTTGGCTGCCCAGAAATTCTAGTTGTCTGATTTCCTACAGTTGGAGGCTGAATTTGTGTTTGGTTTACTCTACGTTGCTCAATTTCTGTAATCACCCTTGACTGTACAGCACCCTGAGGATTTGCAACTTGCTGCAAAGAGCTGGTTCGATTGTTCTGTTGAGGAGCAGAATAGAGCTGTCTACCACTGGCTTGGGCAAATCCATCAAACTGAGTTCTCTGATGGGATGTCTGAGCACGTTGCGCACTTGTTTGCACAGGATGTCCCACAGAATGTCTTTGTTGGCTGGAATTATAAGCAGACGTATTATAAGCAGAGAGGAGGGCATTCAATGTGGGATGTGCAAGGCCTTGAGTGGTAACTGTCTGCCTTTCTAGTGATGGTAATGCTTGGTAGCCTGTTGTGCTGGTTTGCTGCACTGAAGTAGCAACTGAAGCACGAGGCCGATTTCCAAAAACCTGGGCTGAAGAATGTCCTTGTTGCCTTACTTGAAAAGATGAAGCTTGCTGGAATTGCAGTTCTGGCGGTAATGGGTAAAACTGACCAGATGGAATGAATGCAGTGTGAAACACATTTGACGATTGGGTGCTGGGTGAGAAATTTAGATGTTGCAGGGGTGCCGTGGCTTGAAGATTTGGCCTGGCCATTTCTTGTCTTTGTGACACATAGGACGATTGTGGAGCTGCTCGCGCTTGTGGCCGCGCCTCAACTGGAAGGACAAGCTCAGTCTGACAAGCAATAGACACTAATATCTTAGGTGGTATAACTTCTTCATCGGTCTGGCTTAATGAAGACACCATCTTTGGATGTTCAACTTTCTCAAAGTTTGTTTGGCATCCAACAGAGGAAGAAAATAGTTGCAAATCAGGGGAGGGATCCCTGTTTCTCAAAGGTGAAGTTGCCCTATCAACTGCCCTTCCACGGTGGAGACTCTGCAAATAACAGAAAGTGTCGACTTAGGCACAAAGACTATTTCCACCACACCCAATGGGAAAGCCAATTGGCAATGCCCAGTCTTACAGAATCATTATCTTTTCTCGTCACAACAAACCTGAGGACATCAATTATTTACGTCTGCCAAGTGAAAAAGCAAATAACCTTCAATACTAGCAACAACCATAAATGAGGAGTGCATCTGACAGGGGGGATGATGGGGCAAATTTTAAAATTGAGAAAAAAAAAAGATACCAGTTTTTTTTTACTCGTAGAAGGCCTCCAAAAAAACGGTGCTGGGACAGGGAAAGTGGCATCGAAGGAGAAAGAAGTGTAATAAGAGAGGCAATTAAGACCTTGAAATAAAAGATAAAAATCATCCTGATAATTAAAGCTATGAGTTTTCACTGACAGTAGTTTAGAATGAAAAAATTTGGGATGATAACCAGAAGCATTTTCTGTCCATTAACTTACTATGTTCATATTTATCTGTGTTCCTCTGGAAACTGTTTTAGCGTTCACCTGAAACCAGATTTATTAATATTATGAGCTGGAGATGTGAACTGTGGGGTACTTTTATAACAGTATGGTGCCTAACTTTGACTTGAACAAAAACAGGCCAAGACCAGAAAAACAGTGACACACGGACCATTCACATTTTTACAATGCAGATACATATATCATTTTATTAGTAAAAAACGATAATTCAGTTTTGGTAATTGCCATGAATATTAGATATACACAATAAACATGCCCTTCCATATAGGCAGCCTTATTCTAGAGTGAATAATATAACAAGTTTCAGCAATAAAATAATCAGGTCACAAGAGTGAAGACTGATGTTTCATTGTCAAATTTCAAGGACGTTTCGGGTGGTATTTGTGGATAGTTTTCTAAATTGAGTGATAACTTTAATGCAAATAAGCATGATTCCTCTCAGATTAGATTAATGTACTTAATGGGTTGAAAAAAAAAACAACAACAATAATAACAACGAAGATTATAATGATAAAGTTTAACTTTACTACCTTACTCCAACTTCAACTGTCAGAGAGTGAAGAAAATATAAAAACCACAAGGTGTAGAACAAATCAGAGCCTGTTTATGTGAGGCACGTAAGCCTGGTTAGCCAGGCTGGCTCAGCTTATGTGTTATTTTCTCATAAAAGATCTGTTGCTTTCATGTAAGAAGGCAGGCTGCCCTGCTTGCCTCTCAGTTGCTTGACGTAAGATCTTGGAACCCTGGACAGCCCACCTTCTCATATAAACACGAGACTTTTTTTGGAATGACATGAGACAATCCCTTCCGTTCCTTGGTGAAATACCTCAAAAGGAAAGGAGTTCCTCCAAACATTTTACATCGTATAGGCTATTACTGCACTATCAACAACATTTCAGTGGTGTATTACCTTAGATGAATGGAGTAAGTCGTTCACCATATCTTTCAGTTTTTCACACTCTGACACCAGCTTTTGATTAGTCGTTTCCATACTTATAATCCTTTCATCTAGTTCTATCCTCTTGTTTCTTTCTTCATTAAGGTCTGATAGCAAGGAGTTCACAACCTACAATTTCCATCATTGCAAAGCAGAACATTACTTGGCAACTACCAAAAACGTGTTATTCCCCTTGTGTGCCTGATTGACCTGTTCCTTTCCAGAGTGAATGATGAATCATGAACTGTAATGCATTAATCCTTCTTGGCATTACTTTAACCAGGTACATTTGGTTGAGCATAATATTTTCAGGGCTGTGCTCTAGCAGGGCCTGGTAGCCCCTGGCGGGTGACTAAGAAATCTTACTTTTTTTCATTTAAATGATATGCTGGCCACCTTAGATTTTACAGGTTTAGAGCACTGGGCTCCCTTCAATTTTCCTTAGAGCACAGCCTTGATTGATTAAATAATAATTAAAAAACAAATACTTATGGCCAGCACTTAACTGTTGGAAGGTTTGGAGGTACAACGTCCAATGAAATTGGATAAAAGGCCTCTTGGACTCATAACAAATCTATTTTTTTTCTAATCAGCTTTATAAACTAATAAGAAGCAAAGACCTAACAAACCTCCAGTGTATTGTATCCACTTGCATAATCAATTGAGTTATCTCCACTAGAAAACCCAGAGTCTCCAGCAGCCTCATGATCGACTTTCATTTCACCACTTAATGGCACAGCTTCTTCACTTTCCGGCACCACCTTGTGACTGGGTAAATCAGAATTACCACTTGAAACATCTGTTGCTGCATCATTAACTGAAGATTTAGGCTGACTATCTTGTTCTGAAAGACTTGCAACAGTATTATACTTTGATGACTGTATTTGACCATGACACTGATCAACACCTGTAATTGTCTTTACAGTTGAGAAAACACCATCAGCTGCCAGACTGTTGCTGCCAGATTTAGTCTCATCTACCTGTAGGCAAGTCTTGGTAACAACCTCAGGGTAGCAAGGTACAGTTATACATTGCTCATCCTGTGTAAGACCTGCTGAGTTGTCATCAGCTGCTATTCCATCTCGATTAAACAAGCAGGCCTTCACTGAATCTTGGTTTTTTGGTGGCTTTAACTGATTTTCATTAAAATCAATTTTGGTAGTAAATGTATTTTCATCACAAAATGTAGGGACTACTGCAAGGTCATGATCTGGGCTAAGCTCTGATCCATCAAGAAGGTTGGATAGCCTGTGTCGCACAGGGCTTTCCCTTACTATTTGGGAAGAAGAGTCAAATACTTTATTGTGGTTGACATTAGAGTTAGCTTCACTTTCCGTTTTCTGCTTGCTTTCTGCATTTTTCTCCTTGGTAGACAGGTTTTTTCTTTGTAACTTCTTTACCTGCTCCTGGGTAAGCTTTGAAAGTTGGATTACTAGCCTTGGCTTTTTCCCTGTGAACAGGAAGTCAAAATGGAAACATTTTATTAATTTTCAAGTAGTCTACCTTCCTACAGTTATGGCAATTTAAACCTGTTTCGCAATTCTCTTGCATGGTGTTTTTTTTCAGCTTGTTATACTGCATGAAATGTAGAACATTTCTTGAATTTTGGGTGCTGTTTGGAGTGAAAACAATATTCAAAAATATTTTTTCTTTGACTTAAGGATAGGTATTACACACACTAGAGATAAACCTGTTCTTGGCAGAATGTTAGATCAAGAAGTGCTGTTGACACTTATTTCTAAACGAAGTGTTATACATTACCAGAGCTGTCATTAAGGGCCGGGAGCAAGGGGTTTCCCTCAGCTTTTTTCATAGGATAATAGAAGGAAAATAGAAAAAGAGATCCCTAGCAGTTTGATTCCCTGCCTACTATACTTGAGGTATTTAGATGGCTCCTTAAAATCATGGTGACAGCCCTGCATCACCATGCAGATATAAGAATAAGTTAACACTTCTTAATGGGAAGCAAAATGAAAGCAAAGTTTTCCATAAGTTTACACTTCTTAATGGGAAGCAAAATGAAAGCAAAGTTTTCCATTACAGCACTTTTCAATAACACACAAACTCTGACATTTGATAGCCAGGTTACAATTGTATTTTTTCCTGCTGTCAATCATTATTATGATCACAAGCGATGGGCCATGAAACACAGAAACACACAAAATGGGTTGAAATCCACCAATCACAAATCATAAGCCATGAACTTTTGAACTTGTCAGAAGTAGAGTCCTGTTTCCTGAGAGGTTTGCTAAGATGATTGACAGCAGCTAAGAACAAAAAAGTTAGTTGGCTTTTGTACTCCAGAACTTGCGTTTTATTAAGAAGGACAATAACATCAACCATACATGGGTTGATATTTCTGTTCTTGTATAACATGCTAGCAATAATTAAATCATTTAAATGCCCAGTGTCTCCTGATCTTACAGTATTTATTTTATTAGGTGCCCTGGGCACTTATTAAACTTTTGGGCCTTGAGAGTGGGTCCTTATTAAATGTTCATTATTCTGAGCAAGTAGTATGTTAATTTTCCAGCAAAGCAGTGAGTAATAACAAAACGAGAAGATGTGCCAGAGCAGAATTTTCACTGTTCATTGAAAGTTTTTAAAAAAACTAAAATACTAACAACTCAGTCTTCGGGGAAATTTCCTAGCCGCACTGCACAGTACTTAGTCAATTTCTATCTCATTGTCAGTAAGATCATTAAGTGAACTCTCTGGTATTGCCTCATAGATGTTTCACAGCATAATGTCTGCAAATGGGTCACATGACAAGAAGCAGGTAGGGCAGTAAAGAAATAACAACCAACTTTTCTTGTCCACTTCATAGTTTTTGTTGTTGATGTTGTTGTTGTGGGGGGCAGGATTGTGGGAGGGGGAGGGCACTGGTTAGAGGCTGGACACTTGTCAAATTTTCCTCCCAACAGCATGGTTGCTTATTCAAGGTAGGTGCTAATTTGAGGTCGGGCACTTAATCGAATAAATACAGTACGTCAAAGTCTCCCTATGTTTTCAAGCATACATAGGGGAAATTGAAAGGAGAATTATGCATTATGATTTCCCCAACTATGATGAGAATGAAAGCCAGAATCAAAATTTCCTAGCAGTTAAATTCCCCACTGACTAATTGCATAAACACAATTTTAAGTCTTCATGAGGAAATATTTTGCCTTTCTAGAGATACATGTACTTTCTGCCACCACTTAGAAAGAACACTAGTGATGATGTCAAGAGTTCATAGAAACTATATTAAAAAATACTTGTGCAGCACTTTCAGAGCATTTGGTCACTGGTTGAAAATCTTGACAAGATTTATTGGAAGACAGTGAGAAACGTTTGTAATAAATCTAACAAGTATAACAACTCACTACAAATAAGATTAATTTCTATTTCCACATTGTTATGTTACATTTTGTATAATATATTATTACTATTCTCTCAGTTTGAGGGCAGCTTATTGTAGATATGGTACAGTCTGCTGACTGTTCAAAATGGGGGCTTAATAATGAATAGGGCTTGAAATAGGGGAGGGAGCTTGTTACAGAGATTATGGTGAGTAACATTGCATTTAAGTTCAATGTAATATCCAAGGTAGAACTATCTTAGTCAACTGCCAAACAGGAGGTTGCTGGTTTGATCCCCAAGCTGTACCAATACCCAGGGACTCAAAATAACCAAGCAATGAAGGTATTGCCTTTGCTTTGCAAACAGCTAGAAGTTTGGGTGGCTTGGATGACCATGACAAATGGCAGCCCCAACTTAAGAAGCAGAAATAAAAAAACTGTCCTCAATCATTGGTTCGGTGTTAATCTATTGAAAATCAAAGAAACCACGCTGTATTTTATTATATCTATAATCTCTCTAAAGAAACATGTGGTAAACAGACCTCCAGAGGTAATTCCCTATATACAATGAGCTCCTAACACAATTTTTTTTTTTTTGAAAGGACCCCCCTTTAACATGAACACGTCCACTCTCAGCCTGGTCACAGAGCCATCAGCTGGCACGTTTGCCACTTCCTGCTGCATACTCAACAATTTTTAGGTTTAACGATGTTAGATAAAACCATAAAAGTTTTGGCTTTAGTGCCTTCTACTCTAGTTATCCTGCCTACCATCGCAAAACATTTTAACTAAGTTAGTACACTGTACAAATTAACCTCTTGAGCCCTAAGGGTGATCAGCATCAAATTTCTCCTTGCAATATCAATACTTTGTAAAACAGAGTGGTCATGAGAATTATGGACACAATCACACATGATGAATTTGCTTGATATTTTATCAACTTCTCCCCACTACTTCTACAGGAAATGAATAGGGGAACAAATGAGAATTCAAATGTTGATCTTAGGGTTTAAAGGGTTAAAGTCAGTGTGTACTTAGTTGCAGCCCAGAAAATCTTACCTTTCGGGACACTGGGAGGATCTTCCTGTGGCCTGTAACAAAAACAGTAATATGTTTTCTTAACACTATCGTCCTTGGATGTTAAAAATTACTTTTCTGCCTGATACAATAACACCACATCCAGCACAAACTTTCCCTGGCTCCTTTCCCTACTTCCATTCATCTAAGAAAAGATCTGTTTGCTCCCTCACATTAATCTGTGTTGACGCTGAGTGACCATTAAAATTTTTTGGGATAGTTCACTCACATGAGGAGGCATGGTGGGGCTGTGGTTTAACAACTTGAACTTCCGATCTGAAGATCTGGGTTCAGGCTTTGCTATTGGGTTGTTCCCTTAAACAAGAAACTTTGTTCTACCTTGTCTCTCTTCATCCATGCCCTAGTTGTTCAAAAGGTTGATAGCAGGTAACTGATGTGGTCATACCCAAGTCTATTTGTACCCATATTTTAGTCAAGTTGTACTCATTTCAAGTCGACCCATAAACACAAAAACAAAAGAGTAAATACAACTCAATTATGAATTTTTGCTGTTGTTATGTAATGTTTGTAGATTAAGTTAACAATGAATAGAAATATGAAAGTATACTAAACTTTGTCTTGTTGACCTATTAGTCAACTCTAAGATGAACAACTTCAGGACCACTCCAGATTATCCATCTTAGAGAGGTGTCCAGGTTATAGAGAGTTAAGGTAACATGACACCAGTAATTATAAGAAAATAAAGCTGAACCTATTTGCAATGATTACAAATCTGTTTTACTTGTGCAAAACAGTAAAACCTGGAACACTGTAATAGAAAAGAGTTTTTGTTTCTCTCCACATGGTGCGTAGAAATGACAATAATGGTTTCAAGATACGAGCTGTAGGAGACATACTGTATTTGGCTATGTAATTTGCTTCCCCTAGTTGTAGTTTACTGTCATGTAGAGCACCTAAATTTCCATTTTGAGGTATTATCTCATTATGTTACTACATAAAGCACTTCTAAAGTGTCCCTTGACAATTTCAAAAGTGTCGGTTGTACATCTTTGAGAGAGTATAGTCACAGTAAAATGAATGGAAAACAGCTGTAGGGACTGTCACCATGTGTCCATCTTAAAGAGGCGTCCGTCTTATAGAGGTGTCCATTAGCAGACAGTTGACTATACATAATTCATTGATTTTTAATGCCTTTTTACATAAAAATGAAAGGATATAATAATAATAATAATAATAATAATAATAATAATAATAATAATAATTATAAAAACTACATTACATGAAATTCACATGAAGCTAAAAAGAATCTCAAAGGCGAGGAAGTCTCAAGAAACCCCATGAAGGCTTATAGGTGAGATTTAATAACTCTGAGTACAAATCAACAGAAACAGGGTACAAATTGACTTGGATAGGAAAAGACCGTAAACCAGTCAGTGCTATCCCTTGTTTCAACGGCCAGGACCATTTGAATAAAAGATTTTAACAAAACAAACAACTGGGGGTAACGATGCAATGGACTACCATCCCATCAAGGGGGAAACTGAGTTAAGCTTTGGCTGCTGGGTTTCATGGTTAATGTGCCTCTTTACCTTTTGCCAAATAGTATTTATTAGTAAAATTCAACTAATAGTCTATTATCAATGCTGCGTTCTGATTGGTTGAGCTACTACTAGGCTATATGTTATAGCCCCCAAGTAACAAAAAGTGTGTGCTTTTTGGCGGCAAAAAAAAGGATTAAAGTCTAGCTTTATCTAGCTAAATTTTTTTTATTCTCGCCCTCATGGCCTCTGAGTTAATAGCCCATTCGTCCTGACTCAGAGCCAATTAGGGCTCAAGGAATAATTGATAAATACATTTTTTCTTAATACAGTTGACTCCCAATAACTCAAACCCTCGATCACTTGAACTCCCAATAACTCAAACTTTTTTCTGTTTCCCTTGAAGGTTCGAATTATCGGGAGTCGACAGTATGCGCATATCAGCCATCCCGGGTCGTTGACCCCAGGGATATACATGGGCATGTTACAAGATATGTTGACATTTGTTACTAATTTTTACCCCAAGAAAAGGAATTGAATTGCCCTGCAGAATTTGTAAAGCATCTGACAGACAAGAAATATATTCAATAAATCCTACAATATCAGCCCTTTCCCTAGTCTGCTACACAGCCGTTTTTAGAGTCGTCACGCAATGCTCCTCCCCACTAACTTTGTGGGGAGGAGCTTTGCGTGACAATACTAAAAACGGCTGTGTAGCAGACTACCCTTTCCCACTCTAAAACTTAGTTAATACAAAGTAACCTGAATTTCATCTCTTAATTTACTTTTTTAATTATCAACCCTTATATTACTACTCTATAAAAGAACCAATTTAATTAAACAAGAATAAAATTTTATTTCAATTTGGAAGTCCCTTGATATACTTCATTTCGTAACGTAAAGCTTCATTTGAACCAACTGCTGTGTAAGGTTAGAGGGGAAGTGGTAGCTCTTTGATAGAGAAATACAATTCTTGGGTGGGGGAGATTTGTGAACATCGTTGCTCAAATTCCTGCACATTCCCCGGGATCAACCCCTGCAGGATGGCCGCTGTTAAGAGCATAAATCATCAGAATGCCTTTTTTATTTGCTGGTACTGCAAATACATGTACATTGTAAATGACTGATTCTTTTTCACATGCAACTCAAAAATCCTTGTACTTACTTTCTCTTTTTCTCCATCATCCAATACAAATACTGCTAAACATAATTCAGAACAAAATGTCAGTATACTTTCTTTTGCTTTTGGAGACATCAACATTCACAGGGGACTTTAGAACACAACAGGTATACACCACAAGGTCTCTTAACTTGGATGGGACAGTTTTATGGTCATTTCACCCCCAAGCCATTTGGCCTCAGTGGCCTCAGTTATAGATTGACTGAAGCGAACACAAATGTTCTTTCATAAAAAAAGAAACACAACTCAATCACAACATATAATATTACACAAAGGAAGTGCTGGTAGTTAATAAGCCTTGTAGGCTGATTTTGTCAAGCGGGCTAAGTGCCTCACAGATTGGGTTAAATGACTCTGACTTTGGGAGCTAAATGACTCAAAAATAGGCGCTAAGTAACGGGGCAAAATGACCAGTTACCAATTGGAGCATCATAAACAAAGGCACAGTAGTAAAGAAGACATAAGAAATGATTTAGCATAAAAAATTTAAGTTCATTTGGTAATTGCACAAAGATTCACATAGGAATGCTTTTCGCCCCAAATCTCTTTGCTAAGGTTAATTATTGGCCCCCTATTGAGTGATTTAATTGAACCGTGACACAGATACGTACACCGAAATAGTGCAAAATAGCTATAGCAAGAGGTAAACAAAAAAGGCAATGGAATTAGTGCATAGTAGTGCGTACTTTCATTCGAACTTTCACTCACGGGTTAAGTAAATCACTCTAAGCTTAACGTCATAAACCTCTGTTCTTTAAGTAAATAATCATGTGCCCTGTAACACAACAAATCAAATATAACACAAGATATTATTGACCATGTGGTACATTTAGTGTACGTGCAATGTACGTGTTACCTTCATACAACTACAACTAAGCCCCTGTTGAAATCGTGCAACAAAGTAGACTGCAGACTCATAGGTAAACAGAGTAAAAGATGTTGCGGACTGCTCTGAAAACTATGACATCCCCTGGAATTTTAGTCTTCTTTAAGCTTATGAGCTTAAGCTTACATTTTCTGTTTTACAAAGGACTTGTTGTATATTGCTTTGATTCAGCTTTAATTCTTATAGGAGACTCTTAAAAGATTTAAGTTTCCTGAATTCCAGAATTTCTCGAAATGCTTCATCGCAAAAGGTTTGCCAACCAAAAATGCGAAAACGTTCATCGATCCAACATGGATAAGCTTACATTTGCCTTGAAGCACGCGAAGCTTAACTTAAATAATCGCGCGGATGGTAGATGTTAAACTTCATCAGCATAGTGAGGACACTCTCCCATTTATTGAGCAACTTCACGTCACAAACAACAAAATCGTTTTAAATTAATTTACTTTAAACTCACCTGTATCGTGCCATTTTCTTGACTTTTTATGAAAACGTACAAGCTTTTCTATTGCAAAACTCCTTCGCGTTGACTAAACACGTGACATGCTACCCGTGACATCGTCGAACCAATAAACACCCACCCGTTATCATGCTTATGAACCAGCATGAAACGACATGTGATATAAAATTTACCGATCAGTCAAAAAAATAGAAATTGATGTTGTTGTCAAGAATGAGAATATCATCGGAAGTTTATACTGGTCATGCACCAAGCTACCGGAACTAATTACGAAAGCGCAATACCGCAGAGGGAAAATTATGCTAAATTTTGCCCTTCCTGAAACTGCACTTAATCTGCATCAGGACTGATTTTCATGGTCAGAGAGTTAACTGGTGAACATCAGTCCACCAGCTATTTCAATTTCTCGAAAACGTGGTTCGGCTGCAACCGGGAAATGGATTTCAAAGCACTTGTTTAGCGCGTGACTTTCTTTTAATGTCACGATCTGACAAGCCACTATGAAGAAGTGCCCCAGGTGAGGCAGTTTGACAGCTATTGAGGAAACATGATCATGGATAGTAGAAAGGCTATTATCCATGATTAAACCTGATGGACATTCGGAAACATTCGTGAAAACGCTAGCCGCACACACGCATGAAAAGCGCGATAAGATTAAGCTGCGACCGCATGCTAGAGATGAATAAACACAGTGATATACCGTGCATGTATAATGAAAGTAACTACATGTACTTACGATTACATTGGTTTCTCACTGAGCAACTACCGTTCGAAAGGTAATTATCGCCTACCGTTCTACGTCTCCGCACAAAGAGGTTTCATTTATAAAAAAATTCGGAAAATGATCTCTTTGTTTGACTTTTTGTTGTCGCAGCTGCTGCTAGTTTCATGTTTATATTGAAGCCTTAAAAAAGCGGCAGGATTAACATATATTATTCTTAAGACACGTACTGGACACTTGGAACCGTATAGGAAAGTTTTTTCTCTATATGTG